TTCATGTTCTCCTTTCCTGCAGATTCAAGTCATCCATGACCTCCTTTTTTTGCATTTGTATGTGTGCTAGCATAAATGTTACACAGATGTGCAATTCCATGTAGGTTAGGGGAGAGAGAAGCAAGAAAGGCTGCACAGCTTTCAGCTGGGAATTGCAGGGGTAGGTGGAGTTACACCTAGAATGAAATTGTTTCTCTCCTTTCAAAGCACAGCTCTATTTGCCGTGGTCTCCTGTTCTCATCATCCCTGTTCCCTTTCATGTCTTTGCTATTAAAGTTATTAGGAAAATTATTCATTCAATTGCTTGTAGAAGCTGCCCAAAGATAAATACATTCAGCTTAATAAACCTTGTTAGCAGAATGGAAGGGGAGAATGCCTAATTAATGTATTAATAATTATAATCCACTTTGAAGATGAAAAGCGCTGGGAGCTCCGAGGACAAGTTTCTGCCCCCTAAAGTCCCTAGGAATCATGTGCAGAAGCTAATTCTAAACATTACCCCCGCTACAGTGTGGTAGGCAAAAAGATGCCCGTGCCACAACTACTCCTCAACATCCTAGGTCTGGATGCAGAGGTTAACTTCTCTTTCACTTACTGCCTGTGTTCAGACAACATATTCTCCTCCATAACCAGGAACAGAGGAGTTGTACTACTGCAGGGAAAGGGCACGTGGGTCAAAAGAAGTTTCCAGATGGTGAAGTTTCCATGGCTCAGGAACAAAAGTATTTCACCTCCCCAGGTTTCTCCTCATTGAGACAGTACAGCACAGGCTGAGATCTGAAGAACAGATTTACTTCTTGCTGCAGTAAGAAATCTTCCTTTGCAGCAAGGGAAAATAAGTTACTTAGAAAGTCTCTTAGATGTCACTGCACAAATAAAATACGAGCTGCTAATAACAGGTTTCTTAGTCCCACTTCCTTTGCATACAGTACCAGGAGGCACATACACTAGGCTCTCAGTATTATGGGCTTAGGTTATGAAAACTTTCATGAACATATTTTAAATTTCAGTCTGAAGAAATCAGGTACTAGCAGCTCACATTTGCATAGCTGTCTCCTAAAAACATTGAACAATCTCAATAAATCCTAGAAAAGAAAGTAAAGTGCACACTAAAACAATAGCAAGTTTCACGTACATCTGGTGAGAAGACAAAAGCGGCAGAAATTACGCTGTCAGTCAATGCATTTTCTGGTTATCACTGGGGATACTGTGAATCAACTAAATAATGTTGTATCACTCACCTCTGTAGCTGTTAAAAAAAAAAAAAAATCTAAGTTCACTCAGGTACCCACAGCGCATTAAAAATTCTGCAAACTGCACAAATCCTTTCCAGGAAAGACTCCTGTCTGTGTCAAAGGCCAAAAAAGGTAAGCCCTCGGCAAACAAAGCACACAGGTGACCTGCAGCAGATGCAAGAACAAAGCCCTGAGCTTTACTCCCAGCCATTGGGTGCTCAAAATTAGCGGCACTCCTGAGCCTTGGGAACAGGAACAAGCAGCAGCCACTTGCGCTCGGACAGACCAGCTGTGCTCAAGCGGTAGTGGGTTTTTTTCCAGGCTAAAATCAGCGTGTTTGTTCTAGTGTCTCTCCTCAAGTGATAAGCACAGATAGCCACTTTCCCTCCAGGGGATTATTGGCTGACAATTACTGGATGAAGAGTAATAAATCAGCCTTCCCTCCATGAGCTAATACACTCTCTGATAAAGCTGAGGCTTTGTTTGCGCTGACCACGTAATTTACCAGTGGCAGTATTGACCAAGTTATCTTTTATGGATTTGTCTGCTCGTGACCTAACAAGAAAGTTTGATTTATTTTTTTTTTTCCTGTAACATGGTCCTTTACTCTTTCTTTCTTTTCCTGGGATATTAACAAACCCCAACCCAAGAATACTTTTCCCTGAGGTTACTGGAGAGAACTCCCACGTCCTGCTCTAAAACTGGCATGAAAAACTAAACACAAATCAATCACTTCTTCCTACAATGTTGTTTCTTCTCCCACCCACAGTCTCTCACACCTGGCAGTGTGTTAGGACAGCGAGTGCCTGCTTACAGTTCACTCTGCTGCACTCGTGGTGGCCCATCGCCCAGAGAGGTTTCTAGGTGCTTGTAGCACATCAGATAAAGCAATGTGTGTTTAAGATGCACTGGAAATCAGGGACGGCCTGGTTTTCAAAACTGCTCTGCTTTCAGCTACTAGGAACTTCTTTCTCTCTAGTAAGCTGCTGATGCCCAAAATCAAATAATTAACAAAGTCATCTCATTAGCAAGGAGCCCTGGCAATAGTCTGGCTGCATCCCAGACCTCCATTCCTCCTCTTTTTCTTCTCTCCGTTCCTACAGCAGAAGCAGTCCATGGTCATTGTCCTTAGGACAGCAGTGTGTCAGTTTTGTGCACACTCCTGAGCAGCCCCAGCACAACTCTGTAAAAGCCTGGAGAACCAATCCCTCAAGTGGAGGCTGTAAAAATAAAAGAAGGGATTTCTGAACCTAACAGCAAACTCAGATGGATGAATTAACAGGGAACCTGTCCCCAGTTTTTCTCTCCTTTTATTCTTTACTTGCTTTCCAAATCTTCTCTGCCACCTGTCAGTAGAAACACTCCTGTCCTCTTGTTGTGAGGAAGAACTGAAAAGGCATTACAATGACTTCCTAGCTGCAAAAAGAGGGCCCAGGCTCTGCAGCAGCCTCCACAAGATGTCTAGCTCAGAGCAGATCATCTGGGGAATTTCTTTCAAGAAGCAATTCTGAATCCAACATCTACAAAAAGTAATCAAATAATGACAATTGCTTTGGGGCAGACATTGGTCTACATCAACCCTAAGAGAGAAGCCTCAGAATCACATGTCAAAATAAGGCTCTCCTGACATAAACAACTCTACACCTAGAAAGGACCAAGCAGCCACTAGTGGAAAGTCATTGCAGTCCTGTACCTCTTGCCACTCTACGCTTGCATTAAAAGATGGCTAAAAAGACAAAATGGATTTCGTCATTTTCGTTTGTTACCATCTTCAGAAATAGGAAGAAAATGTCAGCATCCTTCTTTGGAAGTAAAGGTTAACAATACAGCTTAGGCACTTGGGGTGCATTTATTTATTCTTCCCAAATTCTCTCAAAGACCGGGTAATGAGTTTGCTAGAGGGCTGTCCTAGACTAAAACCTCTGAGAAGGTCACAGGGACACACTTTCTTTCACAAATTTTCCCAACTTCAAAGTCAATTAAAGAACGAAAAACCTGCTTTCATATTTAAAAAACCAAACCAACATATGTGACTACAAATCAGTACTGCTCCACAGGAAGTCAGGGTTCATTTCCACTTGCTTGTGACATAAATATTACATGACAGGTACAAAAAGAAAAAAGGACCATCTTCCTTTTTTAACCACTTGCAGGATACGTCACTGATCATTCAGCAGCAAATATCAGCACTGCCAGCAATGATACAATGGCACTTTTGCATGTTTCTCATAAAAAAAACACCTCAAGCAGTCATTTTGCTGAAAAAAAAAAAAATTAAAAAATTGTCCAATGTTGACAAATCCATCACTTCCCTGGGGAGATTACTCCAATGGCCAATTGTTCTCACTGTGAAAAATTTTCCTCGTGTCCCATCAGAATGTCCCCAAGAGTAACTTCTACCATTACCCTTTGTCTTTTCTATGTGAATCCTTGTAAAAAGGGAGTTTTCGTCTTCTTTGTAGCCACCCTTTAAATACAGGAACACAGTGATAAGGTCTCCCCCAAAAGCTTCTTTTCTCAAGGCTGAGCAAACCCAGTTCTCTCAGCCTTTCCTCCCATGGAAAGCTTCCCAGTCCTTTGATCGTGTTTGTGGCCCTTCCCTGGACCCTTTCCAGCCTGTCCACATCTTTTTTGCACAGCAGGGACCAAAACTGAACACATTATTCCAGGTGTGGCCTGAGAAGCACCGAGTAGAGTGGGATAATCACTTCTGTATCTCTGCTAGTGATGCCCTTGATGGGATTGTGCCTCTCACTGGCTTCCTTTGCCGTAGCAGCACTTCTGTTCACTTGTACTGAACTGTTGTTCACTGCAACCCCCAGGTCCCTTTCCACAGAGCTGCGCCCCAGATGGGCACATCCCAGCCTGTGCTGCACTCCTGGATTACGTTTTCCCAGGTGCAAGAACTTATGCTTGTCCTTGTTGAATTTCACGAGGTTTTTCTTAACCCACTCTCCCAGCCTATCCAGGTCTCCTTGTAGGTTGGCAAGTGTTCACTTCCCCACTCAGTTTGGTATTATCAGCAAAATATTATCACTGTAGACATTTAATGGAACAGTAAATAATGGTAAAGAAATCTCTCAAAGTACTCCATTATCCATACTATTATGTTTTAACCCATAAAGGAAGCTTTGGAAGGAGCCTTCCCTTATCCAGAAGCTCCAGAGCTGCATCAAGAAGTAAACAAACAGGAACTTATTGATCCATTTCAAACTCAAAGGAAAGTACTCGGTACATTGTCTCCTGCCAGCAGGTATGAACAGGAAGAATAACTTTCTAAACTAGCAAAATGATTTCTACCATATTACACCATCATCTTTTTTGACATTTCTATCCACAGTAACAAGATAAATCAAGCATCAAGCCCCAGGTAAGTAGAAAAATCGGCTGTTTTTCACAGCAGTTACACAAAATAAGAAGTAAACCCAGAGCGATCTTTTTTGGTCTTGACTGTCCTTCTTGCCCTTCCTGTTTCTTACCTGATATTTGAGCAAGTTTTGGCACAGCAGACTTGGGCACTGCCCATGCATGAGTAACAAACACCACACACAGAGTCACAGGCTGAGCCAGTGGCACAGCCAGCAGGACCCTGATATCCCAGCCTGCGAGCTCTGCCTACAGGAGGCATTTCTGTTCATGCAGCAGCAAGAAAAGCCCTCACAAGACAGGCGCTGCATCAACAGTAGGTAATCTGGCCAAGAATAACTGTTGCAGAAGCCTGTAAGGCTTTTAGGTTCGCTCACACAAAGCTAACGCTCAAATTAAACAAAGGTCACAATCCTGTCCCTTATCCCTGAGACGCTGCTTTTTCCAAACCCTTTACCTCCCTGATGTTCAAGGCTCATAGACTAACCCAGCATATGAGGAAGGGCTCCAAATCTGCTTTCAGATGGTCCTTTGTACCCTTGCAGGATGGCCCCATCGTGTGACAGCAGAGGAGCACTACACTCACTGGGAGTGCACTCAGAAACACAAAGCCGCCTTTCTCAGCAGGTGGTCCTCTGCCAGTGACTTAATTTATTCTTGCTAAAAAAAACCTCCGGAGCAGTTCTTGGACAAAGACCTGGGATTAGCAAGTGAAATACAGCCTTCTTTTTAACCCCTTTGTCACTCTACACAGAAATGCTGCTTTGTGCTTCAGAACTCTTCTGCTTTGCCTGTAGAAGGCGGAGGGCTGTGGGATAAGTGGCGGTCACACAGCACGTTTGAAATAAAGGTTTGACTGTGACAGGGTTTCAAGTTTTCATTCATTCAAGCTCTGTATCCTTTTTATAGTAGGAGTCTGTTATTTCCATCAGCCCTGCCCATGTAAGTCAGTTACAGGTTCTCATTTCCAAACCAAGAAGTTAAAATTGGTAACATTTAAAAAATTAGCATTAATGAAATAAAACTGATCTCAAGCCAACTAGTTTACCTCCTTTAAAGCAATGGCTAAGATGTTATTTACTCTGTGGTCTGCACTCAGAAGCTTTTGAGCTATGTGTGTGGCTTGCAACCATATGGCTACATCAGGGGAGCCTTGACACTTACACACCAGTGATGCTACCTCACTTCCTTCCTCCCCCGCTCCAAACCTAGCTCTCATTTTTTCACTCTTCTTACTGTTCTTTTCATATCCTCCCCCAGGGTTTATAACCTTCCTTCATTTAACTGATGTATTAACTGTTTTCACCCTGCAGAACTCCCCACTTTGGCACTCATTTGGCTGACCCCAGGTCGTACAAGTTTCCCTTGTGAGACATACATCACTGTCCCACTGCCTGGTGGGGCAGCAGTAACTGTCCTTCCCATCATTGGCCCACATAAGCTTTTCAGCTCTGAAATAAAATCCAGAAGTGGCACAGTGGTGCATAGGGTCCAGCTTGGATGTAGTTAACTTGCTTTGTGGTAGCCCATAAGGTGCTGGGGTTTGCATTTGTGGCTAGAACAGTGTTGATAACATACCATTATTACTACTTGGGAGCAGCGCTTGCACAGTATCAAAGCTCTCAAAGATGCTGTTTTAGGATGAGGAGGGTCAACTTCAGTTCCAAGGATGAAGTTTAGCCATCCCTCCTCACCTCCCTCATCTGGGCCATGTGGAATTTCCTGTCCCAGACAAACTTCATGCTTTGGACCTTGCCATGAGGCAGATAGATGGACCCAGTAAAGGTGGTAAGCCATATTCCAGTCTTCCCCTGTCCACCCCCTACCTATAGATTAAAGCAGATAATCACGTGAGAGTACTGAGCTCTTTCTACTAACTTCATGTATGTGTGAAGACTTTTTCCACTGACACAGAAATTTAGATCTTTAGTCTCTACCATTTTCAAGCAAATAGATTTCTGTAGTTTGCCTAATGAAAGGGAGCTATTTGAAAAAGCTTCTTACAGGTTCAAATGAGATTAGTTTACTACATCTTATTAAATTACTGTCAGCTGAGCTGCAATAAGTCTAGGGCTTGCTTTTAACCTAGAGTGAATGCCACGCAACAAAGCTCAGTTTAGACCAAAAAGGTCTCAGATAGTAACAGTAGTAATTAGCATTTGTCACAAACTAAAAATGTACATTCACAGGGATTAAAGCTCAGATGACTAAGTGTAATTGCTTAATGACAGTAAATCGACCAGACCTCTAAGTAGTCAGTCTTTTTGATTATCATGAGATCACAGGATAATACATTTGGGAAGGAAGTTCAATAGGTCAGATCAGGTTGCCCGGGACTGAGCTCGAAACTAAAACCAACGATGCAAAGAGATACAAACTTTCATATTTTTTACTGTTATTTCCACAGTTTTGCACAGTAACCTACTGCACAGCTGTGTAACAGTCACAGATTTCTTCAGTAACAAAATGTAAAATAACAGGGTACAAAAATAAGCACTTTAACTGCTTTAATTCCACTTACCATGTAAGTGAAAGCAGGGTTATAACCCTCACCGGCTTTTACACCAGACTACTGCTTCCACTGGGATGTGCCAAAGGCTGAAGCCTGCCATCTGCTGCCAGAGAGCAGTGAGCTCCCCAGCGCTCCCAGGGAGTTCATCAGGGGCCAGCACAGGCACAGCAGTTCTGCCACTTGTGGCACACAGCAGGACCAGCCCAAACAGCACATCCTCCCTCCCTGTAACCTCTTCCTCATTATGAAGCCTGGCTGTATAGAGATAAAGGCAATGTTTATGACCCTCTTCAGATTCGATCTTACTAGTCATCCCAAACCAAAGAGCAGCTGAGGATGTTCTGAGTGCTGCAAGGTCAATTCATTCAACATAGCACCAGACAGGATTCATCATGCAGTGTACTTTTCCTCCCCCTGCTTTTTTGCTTTGTGGTAGTGGTTGTAATCATTATACAGATCCTTAAAGACCTCCCTTACACCTGCTGGTAATGACGCATTTAAGAACTTGACGTCCCGTTCAATGCAAAGGTCAAGGATGTGATATATTCCTTCTGTGAGATGTGTCTTCACAGCTGGGTGCAAAGTAACCTACGAGAAGAACAAATTACATTAAACTTGAAGACAAAAAAGGCAAGAAAACACCACTTCCACAGTCAGTATATACTAAGTGCTGACAACAATTTATCCAGTGCATCAGACCATCTGGAACATCCCCTTAGATAAAACTTAAGATTTTGACTTGTGCAGTATTTTCCTGATTTTTGCAAACATATTTTGCAGAACAAGTACAGCCCCTGCAATAAAATCTACGAGAGTAGACAAGTCAAACAATTTTAACTTGTCATTCAATAATTTGATACTTATCTAACAATTTTTATCTGAAGACTTCAATGTACAAGCCTTAATGAAAGAAGCCCTCAAAAAGCTCAGGAGATGAACATTTTCTTAATCCATTTTAACACTGGGAATCAGGCACCTTGTTTGAAGTCATGCAGAAAGTTGAAGGGATAAAAAAAAATGACTCAAGACTTCGTGCCCTGCTCCCGACGTTACCCCTGCTCAATCCCACAACCAGCAGAACTGCCACTACAACCAGGAACATCAGTGCTGACTCTGGAGTCCTCTGGTGCTCCAGGCTAATTGAAATTTGTCCTGTGCTCACAAATCACTTCCTAAATACTTCACTGCCTGAGACAGTGCTGGCCTCTGGCATAATCACATTATTTTTGCTGCAGAACCATGTCTTATCTTTGCTGAATCCCAAAATTAGCTTTATGCCTCCAGATGTAAGCCTCTTCACTCCAGGCCTAATGAAAATTACATAAAAAGCTGTCATTAAAATTCAGGGTTCTTTCTTCCTTAGGCAACTAATAAACTTTCTGCTAATGAAGTGCACTCCTAATCACTGTGACAAGCTCCTGCTCTCTTTCTGCCCTAAATGTGGAACAGCTAACATATTTTATTAGACCCACTAACATAGCTGGGAAAAACACAGAGCAGGCAATAAGGCATATAGGCCTTTCTTTGGATCTGTGACCCTGAAGAGTTTGCAATCCAAAAGGTTGTAATTTTTTTTGCCTCTCTGTCAGTTGATCAATTGGTTGGTTTATAACAGATGTTATTTCTCCCTACACCATGCATTAAAGTAAGAGAACAGTTAGCATCACAGCTCACAGTGAATGCACTAGGCTGGGCTCTCCCTTCCCAGGGCATTGAAATGACTGCAGAGAAAAAGGACAGGAAAACCCACAGCTATTGACAATATGGACCAGATGGCCCACTTGGGATAAGCAGCTACCTCAGAGCTGCAGTTAATGGAACTGCATCCCTCAGATCACAAATTCATCTGGATCCATGCCTTATTTGAGCCATTCTCACTTCGCAGTTTCCTATAAACACCAATAACACCATGGGAAGCAGAGCTAAAGATTTAAACAGCTGCCACTACTGGCTGGCAGTTAATTATACTTGTAAGAGGTTTATGGTCTATATAGTTAGCACAACCAATTTGTCAAGCATTACAGAGCTCTTGATGTGAGACATTAAATGTGTGAAGGGGTATTTCACTATTGCTGAATTAAGCAACAGCTCATAGGCAGCAAGCGAAAAGCACTGTCAACAGTATGAAAGAGATGCCACCCACTCCAGCAAGGAATCTTTCTAGATTAATACAAAATACTTCATGGTATAAAGAGGAAGCACTGAGGGAGCCGTTACACAACCACTTCAGGAGTAAGTGACTATTTAGGCCAGTAGCTTTCACCAGTTCTAGTTTGCAGACCCTTAAAAGGGTTCCAGTAAGGGTGAAGATGCCCATATGGAGACTTAAATCTACAAACTTGTTTTCTCAGTCATCTTTGATGGACCCCCCAAGGATCTTCAGATCACAGGCAGAAAGCCACAGATCCGGTCTCAGAAGGGATGAATAGCTGAAGGAGTTTTTCTCTCCCTCTGCAGAGCAACATGAAAGAAGTGTACATGCCCCACTTAAGACAGGCACGCTGAGGCTTCCCCCTTCCTCTGATATCCATCAATTCTCAGCAGCCTAACGAGCAAATAAATCATCACCTACTTGTGATCTATCTACTCTGTCAGACAGAAACCACTCCTTTGTCACAGCCTCTGGTGGCTCACTACACCAATTCCCCTTTCCACGCCCAAAGGTTCCAGTGCATACATTACTGATCAGTGGTTTCACCTATCATCCATCACTTTCCATTTCCCACCAAAAATATTGCACAGAACTTTCCTAGAACTCTCATGAGACTTTGTACTCCTGCTAATAGAGAGGCAAGTGTCCTTTCAACTTAAAAAGGTCATCTGACTCAGTGATGAACAGATTACAGAGTTCAGAGATGGTTAAAGAGAGCAGAAGTAGTCTTAACAGCAATTTCCCCCTTTGCTAAACTACCATGTTCACTACGTAAACAATAACCAACTTATCAGGAACACTAAATAACATGGCTAAAAACTGACATCTCCAATTGTTTTGCTCCCAAACCTTGGAAAAAAGATAAGCAATAAAAAAGGCAAACAAGTTTAACATCTGTAATAACCTTTATGGTTAGTTACACTGGTTACACCACAATCTTTCAGAAACATAGCATCAGTTGGAATATATTTTTTGCAAGAGGGCCTAAAAACAAAGACTAATCTTTCTTTCTGTATTTCAGCACATGCCCAGGCTGAAGCCACAAATAATCAATTTGCAGGTACTTGTACCACAAGCAGCAGTCAAACCCTGGTGAAATCTAAATCCATCAGGTTGAAGAAAATTACAAGCTGAACTTAGGTCTGGATGTGAGAAACTACTGACCTGGCTCTGGCATCCATAGTAGCAGGGATGCTTAGTTGCTTTCAGTAGAATTGCAGTGATATCTTTGGTACAGAATGAGAATTACTGAAAAGCTAACAATTCTTGGCTTGGTAACATTTTTTCCATTCATTTAATCATTTAGATCAGATTAAAAGATATTTTCCAGGAGAATTTTCCACCATTACTTTGCCAGATGGGCCCCTAACTGCTATCAGTCCTGGACAAATGAGACTAACTGGGAAATGAATTTAACTACCAGATGTATAAAGAAGCCCTGGTTAAACTCTGGAAAAGGTGGCCCAGAAAGGTAGTGGATACCTCATCCCTGGAAACATTCAAGGCCAAATCGGATGGGGCTCTGAGGAACCTGATCTAGTTGAAGATACCTCTGCTCATTGTAGGAGGTTTAGACAAGATGACCTTTAAAGGTCATCTTTCAACCTTTGAACCCAAGCCATTCTATGATTCTATGAAGAAAGAGCAACATCCAAAGCAGTTCTGTAACTGGGCACTGCATTGTTTAACCTCAAAAAAACCTCACAGCCCACACCTTTAGAAAGTTTTCAGGAGTTTGGTAAGAAAGATTCTCAGGATCTCTTGCTCAAAATAACAGTCTGGATCAAACCTGCAAATCCATGAGCCATGGTAACTTTCGCAACTTCACAAATTTTACAAAATTTAACACAGTTGCCTTTGGAATAGGAACTCCAAAGCCAGCACAACCCTATGGCACTTTCAAGATGGATGAGAACATACCTTCTGCAGTTCAGTCACGTACTGAGCCACCATGAAAGCAGAAAACACAGTAAAGTTCTCCATTTCTGCAGCAATATGAGTATACATCCGTTCCACCAAGTGTGCACATTGCAGTATAACTTCAAACTCATCTGTGTTGCCTAAAACAGAAAGTGAGATGCAGCCTGCCATTTGAGGCTTAAAAAAAACTAGAAAAAAAACCCCAAAGAATCACCCACTCTTCCATGATTCTTGAACTACATGAGGCCAAGGACAGCTTGACATTTTATCTTCTTTCTTATGGAGCCACAGCTGAGAGGCCTCCCACAATACACAATGCACATCCTTCAAAATGGTTTTTTTGTAAGAGCACAATGATTTGAAGTCTACGTGCACTGCAAGGGAAAAATTATTTGTTATAGATGCTGAAGTGCTAAAAGCAGTACTTATGGTCCCTTCCATGATTCAGTCCCAATTAGCACTGTGGAGGAGAGAAAAGGAGACAGGAAAATTATATTCTCTACCTACAAAAAATCAGAAGACATCTCTTAGAAAGAGCATATTAAGAGAGCTTTCTGATGAGATCTATTATGTGGCATATAGCAGCAGAAGCCACACCACTGGAGATATTTAAAGTGAGACTGGTGAGATCAGCTGAGAATTTACTCAGTGCAGTGAATGAAGAGAGCCAACACAAATAAGGAAGAAGGGAAATCCAGAAATTAATTTCATGCTATCTGTTACAAAAACAGAACAATCCTGCAAAGATAAACAGCATGTTTTTCAACTTGACAGTGCTGCATACCTGTAAATTTCCTGTGACCCTTGCCTTATGCAAACATATTGCAGAAGCAAGCAAATTCTCAAAGTTTGGACCCACCTACCTTTTCCTCTATCACTGAGCCTTTGCTACTATATTCCTCCATGACAAATACATACACTTACATTTGCCCACAAGTGTGGGCAACATATCAGCTGAGATAAATCTGAACATGGCACAGGTTGCAGGACATCGGCGGAAAGCCAGGATACAATCAGTTTCAGGCCATGAAGTCAACTTGTCTCAAAAACTCACCACTATTAATGGTAGGGTATTTGTGTCCTGAGCAGTATAAAGCACAGAATGATTACCTCAATCACTGTGAACACCTTTGACTTGGCTAATTCTTTAATAACTTTCAGTAATAAGCCTTTTTTTTTTTTTTGCCTTTGGGATATTTAACTACACTAATTCCAAATCCTTAACCATACAGATATATTATCTAATCCCAAGTGATGCTTCAGATGTTCTGGCTTTATACTTAGACAGAACGGTGACAATGCAGGTCTGTAGTAAACATATTTCCAGCCTTAAGAAACTCCATTTACTAGGATCGATTTGGTATTATAACTCACACATATCAGCATGCATCACCAGAGCTCACAGCCACCGTGCTTTCAGGCACAGGGGTTGATCAGAAGAGCTGAAACTGGGCACAGCAAGCCTTACTGGTTCCTGTCTACTTGCCAGTCAGTCAGTGAAGAATAATTTATTCACCAAAAGCAGTACTGCCTCGTGCAGTTCCACAGGAGCCCCCAGTTACCTTCATAAGCCCATGACACCACAAAGGTCATCCTCAGTTTTAAAAAAAGGACAGACAGGGCTAATAGTTTCAATGCCACAGCTAGGCTTTGAGGACTTTGATTCTGATGTGCCCTGTTCAGCATCTCCCCGTCCAGAACACATACATTACAGTGTATATATATTATAAAGGTGGAAAAAATACGGTACCTCTGTCTGCTTTCTGACGTCCTTCATGCATGACAGAAACAACCAGACGATGGAAACTGCTCAGAAAAGATGGTGCTGCTTTCAACAGCACCTGCAAAAGACATGAAATAAAAACATCTGAGATTACACAGTAAATGGAGTGAGAGGGTAGAGACTATCTTTTCATTCTGCATCTATAGAGTGTTTAGCATAAGAGAATCCAGAAGTAGGACCACATTCCAAGCCATAATCAAATATAAATAGCAACATCATATTAGAGTTACTTCATCTCTCTAAAGTAGCATTAGATTTAGCACCCTAATGTCTAAGGTATTTGTCCTTGTTGGTAGAGAACCTGCATAGCCAGACAGATTGACAGAACATGGGGTCCAGTAACACTGCAGATCACTGGATAGGCAGCTTTCCACCACAGCGTTTTTGTAAGGGCATTTTAGCAAAGCATTTCCCAACTTTAACTTTCCCCACTCTCAGTCCTAATACAAATGCATGAGGTCCCTTTCTTTTTTTTCTTCCATCTCTGCCTACATATTCCATGTAGGAGTATCTTCATCCCTGTGCAACTCCTGGCACATCTTCCCTTTCCCATGCCAGAAGGCTGACAAGAATACCAAGATGGTATAATGTTTGAAGGTTACCAACTTCAACAGTGTCTAAGCCATGTTTTCAGAGGACTGCAGAATCTTGACCTCCAGTGAGAATGAGGTCGCAGAGCTTGAGCCATTTGTGCTTCTAGAAACCAGTCACAGAAAAACGAAAAGTTTTATTCTAATATATCATTAGATGCTGGTAAGCAATGCACTGCCAAAGAACAACAATGCCGGCAGAAGCAAAGCAGGAGAGTGACTGAAATTATGTGATTTTGAGATTCTCAGCCTTTTAAATAAGAAGTGGTACAATGCACTTTTATACTATCAGGACAAAATATTTCAAAACAACTAATTAAGAGAAATTCTTATCACTGTTACATTTTTGATCTTTATACCTATTTCCTCTCCTCCCATCCCCTCACAAACGTACTTTTGGATGACACTGCACAATAGAGAAGAGCACTTCGTGGACTCCCAGGAAGACACCACGATAGTCTTCTAACTTCAGATGATCCAGAGGGACTGTTAGGAGAATGCTGAATGCCAATGACACATGATGTGGATTCACAAGAACTCCTTCTCCTTGCCTTAGCAGAGCTGCTACAGTCTCTAGAATAGGTACAACTATGATGGAAATCAGCGATGGGTCCTGACAGGCCTCTTTGGTTTGCATCTACAAGAAGACAGTAAACAGATAAGGAGGAGAACATTTAGCCACCTATCATCAGTGTTTGAACACCAGAGAATCGTAATGCTCTGACTGGAGCCAAAGGAACTAGACTGGTGCAAGCTGGACCGACATGCAGACTCCTGCACCAGAGCCATTTTCGTGTAATTGCACCCTGGGCAAGGACCCACATGATGCACTTCAAACCAGCACTGCTATGTAACTAGAATTCTAACTATTCTCTAGTCCCCTGACAATTAGCACCTCTTTGCACCTCCTTAGAGAAATGCACTGATGCAGGTCACTCCTTTACAAGCATGCAGACCTATCAAAAAAAGGGCAGACATTGCATGCTCATGATTCCCACACATTGCAGAGCCAACCTCTGATAAATTCTGGTCTAGAAACATCATCACCAGAAGAGGAGAAAAACCTGCATCGCTAGGTTTATGTACTGTACAAATGAAAGACAGGAAACCTGGGTTTGATTACTTTCTGTCAAGTTTCCCTTTCATAATTCAGTGATTTTTTTTTTATATGAGCACTTCTTTATTTTTGTTTTGCTGCTGTTGGCTTCTGCTGCAACACGTGGCTGACAGTTACCTTTTCCTTTGGACAGGAAGAAGCTCGAGACACTCAGACTGTCTACTCTGCAGTCTAACAAGTTTCTCCCAAGCTCCACACTACATGGTGCAGTTCCATAAAATTACTGTGTATAAGAACTCAATGACCTATACACTGCACTTAAAGGAGGAGATTTACTTGAGGAAGGCCGAGGTATGGATTTGTTCAGTATCCACAATGTTTTTCTTCCTGTATGCCTCTGTGCATGTTAAATGTAACCGCTACAGACTCTAACAAGTAAAAGGGATAGGTAATTAAGTTACAATAAAGAAATACTTACCGCTAAAGCTGTGATTATCTGTGGGCTGGTAAACCAGAAAGCTTTCACTTTGTCTCCACTTAATGAGCATCTGAGCAACAATTTAGTGAGGGTAACAGCTGACAACACTTCCTGCAGAAAGCAGAGGATCAGTCACTGGTACTAGGTGCACTGGCTCCTTTCAAGCACAGAAGAGCCCTTTCAAGGCCAGTGGTACTTTTCAGCACTACCAGAGCCTTGACACATGAAAGTCCTCCGACCAATACACCTCTTTGGAAACTGTGAAGTAAGCAGCAGCTCAACAAAATTGAATATGCTGAGCTGAGCAGCACTGGCCCAAATGTACTTCATGGCACATTTATTTCAGACTTATCTTCCTGTATAAAAAGGCTAATGTGATTTAAGAAAGGAAAGTCTTCTCATACAACTGCCACTAGATAGCAGAGGGAGACAGAAGGCATGCAGGGATACCAGTATACTATACACTAAGAACATTGCATTTGGCAGCACGGCTTTTTTTACTTGCTAGTTGTTTATACAGACTGATAAATGAAACATATTGCAAGCTACACTCAGGTGGCAGGAATTACATACACAGTACAGGAATTCCAGATATACTTTCAAAAAGGCATAACAAGAACTGAAGCGGCATATTTGTGCCTCTTTCTGACAAATAAGACAGGGCCAGATAATCCCCCAAGTATAATCCAGGTCTCATTCTCAAGTTCCTGAGCTTTCCACGGAGCATACAGCTGGTGTTTTTGCCAAACGTGTTCCACACGTCACCACTGCTGCTTAAGCTGCTCTGAAGAAAGGTAGAGAGTTTATAAAGCTACTGAGTGGTATCTGATTATTATTGAGTAGTCTTTAGAGAGACAACTAACAAAAGTATAGGGGTAGTTTTGGTTTTAGTTAAAAATGCCAGCGTTTCTAAAAGTGCCTTTAATCTTGTTAAGACAACCCACAGACAGACACTGACTGCTAGTATCTGTTGTGCAAGAGCTTAGAGGAGAAAGTAGAAAAGAGTTTTCAGCACAGCCTGTAATATCACAGCTGTGTGATTTCTGTTGACAATACATGGAATTAAGACTGCGGAGTCCTTAAACTGGACAGAAAATTTTTCAAGTAGGTTTCCATGATCTTTCCATCTCTCTCAATTTATATCCAGAACATATTTCAGCAGTCACCAAGCCCTTATCCATATAAATTAAGATCATTGAACATAAAGCAGGAAGAGGAAAAAAAATATTTATCAAATGTAATTCAGCCAACAATTTTTTTCAAGGTACAGCAGACTGAAAAAGGAAGATGACACTACAGTAAGTTCACGCCTTACTTTAGCCTTCTGTTGCCAAACATTCTTCAATTCGAGTCCCTGCAGCACCAGCCTCATTATGGCATAAAACTCCTCAGCAGAGCAGTTTTCCAGCAGCTGGACAAGCACTTCTGTCAGCTCCATTTCCATACCTTGGATCACCTGAGTTGTGATTGCAGGACCTGCATATTCAAGAGACAAAAGAAATCAATTCCCAACACACAGACTTCCACAGGTAAAAATAGGGCAAACTGAAAATAAAACAGCTCTATGGGTACCTTTTTAGCACTCAAATTCACAGAGGGCTCCCCACTTTACCTCTCTCCCCACTAGTGCAATGACTTGCTGACCTCAAGTATTTCCTACCCTCAGGTTCACAGAGCAGCCATCATTCCATTAAAAAAGCCTTCAATAGTACAGAAATACTACACTAAAGCAGATGCACAAGCCAAGGGAGCAGGCTAAACAAGCCACAGGGCTTTACTATGTGGTGGCCCTAAATCCATCACAAATCACAAAAACATTAAGCTGACAAAATTAGGTCTCTGCTGATCCTAACTCACAGTCCCCACTTACCCACTTACTACTACACAGACAGGCTAGCTCATAATTCAACTGATTTTGAAGGCTTGTTTTTTAATTCCACAAGTATCCACAGGATCTGTGGCAATGCTAAAAACCTTCTTCAACAGGAATTAATATTTCATTTTATTGAATACTTTACTTATTCAATGGAAATTATTACAGCTTTTTGCAGTGATTCATTATGCCTCCGAGCTAAAGAACTTTACCAACCTTAAACTAATAATGTGAGGCACAGAATGAGACAGAGGAAAATCAGCAGAAAAATTACAAGAGTTGACACATCCTCATCTCCATTCCATGGAAAGCCGTGCTCTATTCTTGACTACTTAATGCCAATATAAACACTGAGATCACTACTGTAGTTCACTTGAACAGTAGCCTCCCCAGTAGGGTGCACTCCCTCAGGGTGTATACAAGACAATTCACTGGGATGTGGGAATTATAAATAAAATATCTTTAATAAAGCATTAAAAATAGTGTTTATTTCATCCTTGTCTCATGCTTTTTATATTTTCTGTGTGTATGCTTTGTAATGTACATGGTATGCTGGTAGAGTAGCGTGTATATATAATTTATAAGTAAATATATATTGAGGCTGCATGCTCAATCTTTAATTTTAATGATAGGTATGCACAATCGAAAATGTTTGGAGACCACTGCACTAGAGCATGTCATTGACAAGCCTGATAAATTCCAGCATTTTGAAGAAGTCAAGGAGAACAGTTGCACCTGTGCTGTGTGCAGCTCTTTCTGAAAGAGACACTCCAAAGGAGTCATTAGCTCCCACAGCTGGCAGGAGACGTTTTTCATGTCATTGCTAGCCCTTGCTCTTTATTTAATGAGGATAAAGGCCAATCTCTCACAAACTTTATCAGAATTATGGGCATCCAGCATTCATAACAGTTAGGTAACTTCCACTGTTCTATAGCCTCACCTACTGAAGTAGATGAGTATTTGACTGTAAGATCCTCCAAGGACATTTCTGACCTGACCTGGGGCACATCAGCTGCTCCAGTGGTGTCTACTACACCGACTACACAAGTAGGACACTGCATCTTCAGCCCTACATCCAGAAGTGTTATCATGTTCCAGTTACTGTCAGAATGCTCTACAGGGATGAGTTACTCAGGACCTGAACTTTATTGAGATGTTTACATCTTTCAGAAGATCATGATCAAATTAGATGGTGGCTGTGATCCAGGTACCACAACATTGCCTCCTTGTAAAGTTTCCTGTTATGCATTTACCAAAGGACAGCCTGCTGCTCTAGCACAAGCAAACAAACACAGACTTTTCAAAAAGCTGTATGCTTTGCTAAATGGATTTTAACTTGCCTCAGCACCTCAAAATTACCAAAGGAAGTGGAGAAAGAGAATTTTCATACCAGAGAGAAGCTTTTTTATGGCAAAACCAACCATGACCGCAGTTTCTTTTTCAGGATACAGCTCTGGCACTGAGCAGAAGACTGTCAGGAACTGCAATGCAGGCTGAAGGAACTGCAGATTATCTCCTGCACAGGGCAGTTCTCTCAGTATCTGAGAGTAAAACTCCTGGTACAGCTTAATACGAGGTTGCTCCAAAAACCTATTGGGCTCCTTCTGCCAGCCCCTCCTGACAGGATGGCTCAGATCTGCTTTGAGGAGAGTAGTGACAGATGGTATGAATGCTACAGGCAAAAGCTTGTTTGGGGTGTTACTCTGAAGACCATGTTGAACAGTTCTGACCATCTGCAGAACTACGGGCTCCAGCAGAGCAGACAGCACATCTGCAGAATGCAGCTTCTTTTCTGGCAGCTGCTGAAGGTAGAGTGTGACAACGTCACATAGCGTGGTGAATACCATGAGCAGTAACTGCTCAGCTGCAGGATTCCAGTTTTTCTGGTCTTTGCTTTTGGCTGCACTGGCGTCCGGCTTGCAGCTTACCAGGAAAGATATGAACTTTTCCAAGTTGAGCCTCACACTTTGTCGTCTTTCAATTATCATCTGAAGAAAGTTTTCCAGAAAAGCTTGGACTTCCTGGAGATACTGTGCCCAAACAGGAACAGTAAAGACATCAGAAAAGAATTTGCTCGCTGTAAACTGGGAGGTCATGACATGCTCAAGAACATCACTGGCATGTAACACCTTAAAAACAGAGTTGGCATTCCTGCCAGCTTGCAGGCACCTCAGGAGGTGGAGGCAAGTACTTAAAAACTTCAGGAATAACAATTTGCTGCAAGAGGCACTAGCCCTGGTATTGGCTAGCAAGGACAGCAGCACCAGAAAACACCGAGTACAGTCAGAGGGAAGAAAACTGTCTAGTTTCAGAAGAGAAAAAATGTCCAGCAAACCCAGGCAGCTTTCTAGCTGACTTTCTTTCAGGGTGACAGGGCAGCCACTTTTTGCTAACAATACTATATTTTGGGCAACTTTCTCCAGGGTTTTCCAAGACAAGCTGAGCTCATCCTTCAGTAGTTTGTTTTCTGATGGTACTTCCAGCAGGTCAACAGTTTTGCAAGGAGCCAGGATTTCTTCATGCCAAGGGATATTACTTGCAAACAGCTGCTGAAGTGGCAGATCTACCGGATCCCTGGTAGCAATGGGCAGCACCGTAGAAAACTTATTAATAAGTCTGGTCAGAAATGCACAGTGTAGGATCTTCATTTCTGGAAGAAAGGAGCTGTGCATCAAGCCAAGAGATATCTTTTCAGTGCTGATGGAATTCTCCTGGTCCATGGCAGCTTCCTGAGCTTTGGCCAGCATTAATGTCTCTAGAAGCACATTTGCAATATACTCTACATCTTTTAAGGAAATATAAGGCAACAGGATATTTAGGTTGGACATGATGAGGTGCCAGTGTGCTGTGGGGTAAGTGAGATCACTTATCGTGCTGATATCTCCATCCCACGGTTCAGATTCTCCTCTGCTCATGGTGGATCTCCCAGACTCCAGGACGAAAGCTGCAGCATGCTGCAAGGCCTGTAGGTCAGCTTTGGTCTGCATTAAGATCATCTTCATTTTCTGAAGTGTGAGAAGTTCTAAGCAATATTTACTAGGGGAGGCAAAACTATTTGCAATATCCATGACTCTCTCCCAAGACTGTTCCCTCAAACCAGGGAGAAAAGCTGAAATGCTGAAATGCCCCTGCTTTGTAGCAGGTTCAGTAACAGCACCGGCAATTTCAGCTGTTGGAGACACATATTTACTGCAGCTAACACCAAACAGAGTGTCTACCTCAATCCAAGTGTAAACGAGGAGGAGAGTAGCGTCACTGGCCTTTCTTAGCCAAAGGTCTGACTTCTCTTCCTCTCTTCTAGGAGCCTGCAGCAGCTCCATCAGTGGCTGAATTATTCCCTTCTGTATCTTTGCCAGCAGACTTTGAGTGCGAAGCACCACAGGGGAAGGAGTGACATCATCTAGGCTCCTCATGTTGAACAGAAAAGCGTGCAGCACCGAGCACACTGCCATCAGCTTCAAGGCCATGTCAGTTGACCCTTCAACTGCAGGAATGATAAGGGTCTGGCATTTCTCCACAAAGAGACACAGAATGTCCAGAATCTGGTTGGGCGGAAGTTCAAGGAGGCACTCACGAAGCTTTACTGTCAGGCCAGCAGAGAAGACGGGTGGCCTCAGTTCATCAACAGCTGGGCAGCAAATAACTGTCAGCACCTCCTCAAAGAGCCGTGGGAACTGTCGCAGCTTGGAGTAAGTCTGAAACACAGTGTTGATGAGAGTCTCCTGGGGCTTCTTCACACGAGGCTCAGAGGCCTCAGCATCGATCCAAGCCGACGACACTAAGTCATCCAGGTCTGGCTCTACTATAAGGTGGTTTAATGATATCAGGAGTTTGAGACACCTGAACCAAGCGGGGATGGAAGCTCGGGAGTGTGTCAGCAACGTCTGTGCCAGCTTGCGGTAAAACCCAAACTGCACCTCCTTGTGCCGGATACGGTCACTGGCGACATTATAGATATCACTGCTGAGCACCAAGCTCAGAAGCTGCTCCAAAGCAAGCAGCTCTGTGCTCCAGTCCACAGGGGAGAGCGTATCTTCCCTCCCTCCCTGCTGTAGGTCAGAGAGCCTGAGACAGCCAAAAAGCCTGCTGAACATGTGGAAACACACAAGGTGGTTTTCTGCCTTACAGTATGAGTCCAGAAAGAGCTTATAGAGCAGGGACACAGAACCAGCCACAACCGCTCCATGGAGAGTAGGTTCACAAAAGTCACTGCCCAGACTGGTCTGCACTGTGTTGACTGGTAGCAAAAGACTTTTAAAAGCTCCTTTCTTCTTCTCCTGGACTTCCTGTTCTGGCAGCAGCTCCTCTTTGTAGGACAAGAAAAGCTCAGCCTGGAACAACCCAGCCTGCAGCAAAGTTTCTATTTGGTTTCGGATTTCCCTGCTCAGGTGCTGACGCACATGGTTATCATCTGCTTGTGTCCAACCTCTCACAGTCAGCAAGTGCCTTAGGAGCAGACATGGCTGGAGCAAGTGACCTGTCACTTGCCCAAACACACGATTTGGGTTGGTTTGCTGCCTCTGGATCAGGAGGTACTGAGCAAAGGTAAGCTGGAGGACGCTGAACAACTGAGAACCCACAGCGCTGTCAGAAGCCAACTGCTGACATGCCAGCTTGCACAGCTTGCTGAGGAGATCAACCAGAAGCTCACACTTTGCTGTGTAAATGATGGAGAGTGAAGGAGTAGAAAGGATGCCACTGGAGCAGTTCAGCACTGTGCCAATGTTCTGCTGTGTTTTTTGAGAACAGGCCTCTGATAACCTTTCGTTTATGACCTGAAGTTGGGAAAGAAGAGACAAAAACAAAACAAAAAAAACAGTCAGTTTTGCATACAAAGATCATAATGAAGCAACAACACCTGCTGTGAGCTCTGGCTGCAACAAAGAAGCACCAAGAGACTTGCCAACAGCTGCTCCTGGGCCTCTCACATCACAAATCCCAAAGCAGAAGCTCTGCTGTCCCAGTATTTATTTGCTCCCTTTTATCACCTCCAGATAATCTTGTCTGTGAACCAACTCAGTAGCAATTTATACATTTGTGTCTATTACAGTTAAAAAACTCACCTGCCTCCTTATAGCTTATTGTGGATGATTCATCTCCTCAGTTGAAACCCCAGTGGACTAAGAACAGATCAATAAGTTCTTTCCACTGGACCCTCTAACACCTCTGTCCTTGGTCTTTAGGGAACCCTGTCCTGTACCTCTGATCTAATCTTCAACCAGAAACCAGGTTTTCATACCCAGAGCATGTTTAAATTTTGCACACTTTCTGCATAACATCTCTGAAGCACAGATTTCATCCAACCGATGCTCTGTACTTCACAATTCACTTTCTTCAGGTAAAGACAATCTTCTCTGGTTTCATTTCAACCTGATCACAACTAAAAGGGTCATTTTCCAGTTATTTTCACTGCTTTTGCAGCCATTCTCTAATTCTGCTATTCCTTTAACCAGAAAGCCAAAAAAAAAGTAAGTGTTTGGTTCAGTTCTAAACTGTAACTGGAGTCACCCCCATTCACTTTCAGCTGAGGCTAAAATAATTACGTGATTAAGATGTATAATGATTCGGGTCCACCACCATTCAGAGTCATCATAAGAAGCTACAGGGTCTGCTGAACAACACATCACAGTGCACAAGTACTAAAGCCACACATATGATGAGCCCCACAGTGAGAGAAAATCTGTCTTTCTCTAAACTCCCAAGCAAAATGGTATTACAAGCAGTAAGTACAGAACAGCAACATATGGAACTGAGCCTTTACTTATCTATTTAAATACTTAAAGCAGTTCACTCTGCTAGTCTGAAGAAGTTAAGACAGAGGGGAAGATTACGACTACGATACTTTGCCATTTTTAGCCTTAGTGCCGCACTAATAAAACTGTACTGCAGGACAGAAATAGAGAAACTTTTAAATAGAGGTCCTGCAGGCCATCAGATTAACTATGATATATTTCAAGTAACACCTGAAACTGCGAGGAAGAATCATATACTATAGAAGATACACACTGCTACCCAGCATATTACCGAATATCCACAGTTTTAGTTACCTGTGCAATTGAAAAACTGAGACCAATGGTTTTCCCACTCTTTAAGAGATCCTGTAGTCTTCTGCTATGGATAACATTGTCTAGGTATGTCCAGAGTTTCTCAACAACTTCATCGTCCAGTTCCAGTTTCTTGTTGTAATTTGAAACCAATGTATGGCTTACCCAATCGAGTAATACCTGTTAACAGAAGGGAAGTAACCTTTAATAACCCCCCAAAAAAACAAAAGTGGTACTTTTTCACAGTTACAGCATTTATGTCTTGAGAACTGTGCTATTTCCAAGCAGAACAGGCTCTGAACGAGCAGAGAAGTCTACCCCTGTAGGTTTCAATTCCTGAGAGCTTTCCCTGTGCTCCCTTGTACCACTTCAAAATAACTTTCAGGAGTCAACATCCTAAGGCCCTTTCATCAAGGCATAATTCTGACAAGTGATACCAGTTAACAAACACAGTCTTTTCGATCAAAGCTTAGAGAATCAGATGGTTTTCACTTCCTGACAACTGCTATTCTGTTCACATCCTCCTCTTCATATGTCTAAATTCACCACCTAGAAATTCAGGCCTAGGAATTTAGATGTGTGCAAACTGGATAAGGTTGAAACCTACTAATTTAAATTACTGATTTAAAAACAAATTGATAGTATGTGGCTAGGTTTAGTATTCTAAGTAACTGAATTAACAAGAGCCCAAAACGCAGGTCTCAGACAGTGCAAACCCTAGACCCCACAATACTACCAGCGCTGGAGGAGCAGGACAAGACACCCTTCACTCGAGGAAACACTGCACAGACCTTCGGTAAACAGAGTCAAAAGGCTTAAGGAGACAGGGTGGCTTCCATGCAGAGAACACCAAATCACCTTAAAAGGTGAACCCCAAGAATCCACTGTGTGCTCTTTGCTCACGCACAAGTTCAGAGCACCTGAGACCACACATCTAACTACAGTCAGTTCTCCCACTCTGAAGTTCTTGTTCTTAACTATGACCAGAATCATCTGACTTTGTAGTGTCCTGTACTGGATGTAATAACCAATGGCAATGACAGCTCTGAAGACAAGATTTCTGATCTCTCTGGAAGACAGAACACACACACACCACCCTCTCTATACGAAAGCCTCTTTCACCTTGCACTAATGTAGGTCTTTTTGCTGAGGCTACTTGAAAGATGATGTTATAAAAAACATTTCATATAACCACAGAGAAATCAAGAGCTGCCTGCAATCGCAAATCAGAGCTATATTTGCACTACTGTCTATAGTCAAAAGCTAGATCTGGGTTTTATGAATAGATCCATCCCCAGCAGCAATTCGCTATCGGGGTTTTCTTCTTCCACTGTCTACCATTAAAAAAGTACTCACTTGCTCCTTATTAGGCAGGAAGCACTGGTGAGAAATCCACGCGAAACGGGCCAGCTTGAGTTTGTCCTCCCAAGAAGTCTTGGAGCTTTTCAGCTTCCCGTAAATCCCGGAGTAGATCGCGGCCATGGCGGGGGCACGTGGGACAGGCGGACAGACAGACACGCCACTGGAAGAAAAGCGGAGCCAGGACAAGGCGGTAAGGCGGGCAGAGGCGGCTCCGCACCCCGGCACCCATCCACGCACCCACACACGTGGCGCCGCTCGGGGCCCAGCCCCCCCACAGCCACCAGCCCGCCGCGGCTCCCCAGCACCCACCTCACCCACACCCGCTCCCCGGTCTCACTCGCCTTCCCCTCCCCTCGCAGGCCCTCGCGGGCCGCTCCGCGCCTTGCCGGGCCGGCCGGGCCGTCCCGCCGCCCCCGGTCCCGCCGAGCCGCGCCAGCCGAGCGGGAGGCGGCGCTGGGGGAGCCCGCGCCCATTGGCGGCCCGAGGGCGCCTGCGCGGCCCCGGCCCCGCTCCCGCCCGCCCCGGCGTGTGTCAGCCGGGCCATGGAGCGGCCGCCGCCGCCCGCCGGGCCCCGGGCAGCACCGGCCGCGCCACCGGCACCGGCCCGCAGGGCAGGCGGCAGCGGCGGCGCGTCCGACGGCAGCGCCCGGCGCCGCTGGGCGCAGTGACAGCGCCCTCCTGGCCGCGCCGGCCCCCGCCTCCCTCCCGCCGCCTCCAGCCGCCTGCGATGCTCAGTGAGTGGGGACCGGCCCGGGGCCGCGGCTCGGGGCCCGCGCGGGGGGGCGCGGGGGGCGGTGCCGGCGGCGGGAGCGGGGCCCGGGCGCCCCGCGGCCGCCTCGTGGTGGAGGCCCCGCAGGCCCGGCCTGGCCCGGCCGGCGGCTCCTGGGAAGCCGGCGGGGCCACCCCGGGCACGGGCGCGGCCCTGGGGGCAAGCCCGAGTACGGACGGGGCCGGGCACCTCCCTTGCGCCCGGAGGTCTCCTGGGGGGCCTCTGCTCCTCATACTCTTCTTTCCCTTGGAAAGTGCGTGGGTTTAACGAGCAGCTTCTTATCGCGCCGTCTCTCTTCCCTTTCCTTTTTTTCCTCCTTTTTTTTTTTTTTTTTTTTTTAATATTGACAGGGGAAGGCTTTCACTTTCGCGTCCCTCCAGCGAGCGCCCTTCGGCCGGCGGAGCAGCCCCGGGGCGAGCGAGCGGCCCGGCAGGCTCCCGGCCCCGGTGTCCGCCCGCGGGGCCCACACGCCCAGCAGCTCCGCTCGGCCGGGGAAGGGCTGCGTGGTGGAGCTGAGCCCCAGGTGGTGTGAAGCGGGCTGGACTAAAGCGCGTCCTGCGCAGGTCGCGCAGAGGAGATCGGACCGGTGAAGCCAAGCGTTCTTTGGCACCGTCTTTGGAGCAGGGGGAAAACAGTGGAATGGGCAAAGCTAAATTCGTGGACGGCGAGCTACATCTAAGTCCATATGCAAATGGGTTCTTCTAAAATCACAGCTGTTCCTTCTCTGTCTCTTCACGAGTGCCACTGCTCAGGCAAAAGTTTTCTCCGTAGTTCCTGCTATCCAGTTTTCCTATTTTGCACCACTCCTCTGCTGTGTCTCCAGATTACCTTGTCATGTTTACTTACCCGTTTTTTCTGAGTTGCAGCCACTGCATGTGTGACATCCCTTGGCTCTAAGTTTGTGGTTATCTTCGTATTATTTATCCTTATCTTGTTTATTCTGAAAACTTTGTAAATTTCAGATTACCCTAATGTCACAAAGTTAAAAATTTAGAGTTTCTACTGTTGGTAGGCCCCAAATTTCACCTGTAGCAATAAAGGATAAAAGATTGTACTTCTCTGTCCACAACTGAGGTCTGAGACACAGTTGTCATTCAACAGTATTCAAAGGATGCTAGTGTTGTTTTATTTTTTATTGTTTGGGTTTTGATGGGTTTTTTGTGTTGGCTTTTTTTTTTAAGATTGCTTGTCCTTGGCTCTCTGATGCTCACAGGTCTTTGCACAGTCTTTTGGAAGAAAGAAACTGCTGTCCCAGACTCAAGACAGGAATACAGAGTCTTTAAAAACTGGTGTTTCCAGTGCTATTTTTCAAGCTTTTTTTGTAGAGTCCGTACTGGGATTTTTTCAAGGCCATGGAATCTGCCTAAACGTGTACCTGAAATGTAGCGTAGGCAAGAAATTAATTTCCTTGACCCGATGCTTAGTTCATTTCCAGCTTTTTTAGGAAGGAGGAACTTGCGATGTGTTTTGTATTATTAGCCTCTGCTCTGTTTCAGTGGTTTTGGTTCCTCAAAAAAAATGACCATCATATCTTTTTTTTTCTGTGCTCCAATTTGCAGTATTGCAGATGATGCTGCCTTGTAGCTGTGCAAAGTCACAATGTGATCTTTCCTCTTTTTCCTTGTGTATTTAGCTTATCAGTAAAAATAATTAATGTGATTAGTATTTATTGTTCTCTCTGGTTGTTTGAGAGGAATGAGGCACAGCTGGGACTTATGAACAATTGTTTCAAGCTTTCTGCATTTCATGGACAGGGAACTCTATATGCTTTCGGTTTTCATGTGCTTTTCGCATTTTTGAGATTATCTTCAGTTATGAGAGGCAGAATCTTAAAACTGATGCGAAGCTAAAACAGCAGACTTGTCCTTTTATGCCTGTAAATTCTGCATCGTTGACCTGTTGTGAGTTGGCTCGGCTTGAAACCAGCTGAAGGCGTTTTGGCAGGCCATGCCATATATGTTTACTTTATGATATATTCTACTTTCGATAAAGGGCTTGATAAAGAATATTTGCAGGAATGTTAGTTTTACTCTTGCACTTTTCCTTAATACTTTTCCTGCTTGGGTGACATTGTTCTTGGTAATGCTGAGGGTGAGGTGTAAAGGCAAAGTGAATGAAGAAGCCAAGACTGAAATTAAAGTGGAGGTGATAGTGTGTCTGATGCCAACTGTTTCTTAGTGAAGATGCGTTTCTTGTAAGGTAGTTCCTGTTCTGTCACCTGGGAGTAGGGAAAGAGATCCCCATGAGATACTTCTGGTAACATGCACTACTGTGACTGCAGGGCAAGAAACTGTACAGATTGCATAAAGTAGCAGCAAACATCACCTTGCTAGTCTTGACTGAAGAAACTGGGGCTTCCCTGTTTTTCCCAAAGCTCTGAAGAAGCTTGGATTTGAATCAGCTGCCAGCAGCTGCTCCTTTCCCAGGCTCTTCTCTGTTGTTGCTAAAATGTCTGATCCTGATGTTGTTAGAATTTGCAACTACTAGGTAACTTACTGCTTTTTTGCCTATCATTTAAAATTTACCCTTTTCTCTGTTGGTCATCTGCTCATTCAGCAGCTTGAAAATGCTGACCAAGGTGCTCTTCTTGTTTGTCACTGTAATTTCAAAGGGTCTTTTGGAGTTCTGCATCTTTGAGCAGTTTTTGGTTTCTCCAATCCATTACGAGTTTGGGGTGTCACCTGTACATGTATACTGTGCCATAAGCAATAAGGGTTTTCTTACAAAATCTAACCTAGCACAAATTGATCCTGTAACTGAAGCAAAAAAGGCATGGGCAAGAATATTTCTAAATGCTCCCTCTTTGCATTTGAATCACTGGCCTGAGGCTATTTGTACAGTTCTGACTGGCCAAAAGTGCTTCAGAAACATTTAGTTGAATCTGTCTCCTGCCGTTTCCTTTGGATTATAAGCTAAATACAACAATGTAGGTGGAAACTTTTCAAAACAGTTTCTAGACCTAAAATAAACATTTAGGAGAGCATCTCAAAAACAATTGAGTCGCTACCCAGTTCTAAACTGAATGCAGCTGAAAAGGAGTTTTATTTAAGACAATGTAAGTCTCAGACATAATTTCTTTAATTGCAGGGAAGATGAAAAGGAAATTTATTTTTGGAGTGGAAAAAGTGTGGTTGAAACTCTTTATTTTATTGGGTCTATCTGGAAATGCTTTGAAAACTCCACACCTCTTGATGACCCCACCCCCAACAGTTACTTAACCTGTGAGAACAAATGGGAACCTTTTTAAGGTTTTCACCAAAGCATATGGGTTTGCAATTTCAGATATCTGTTGAAAGTAACTTTTTCTGAAACCTTGCATTCTCATCCACTTGGAACTAACTTCACAGAAGGCTTATTTTTCTAACAACTGGGATAAGCACTAAAGTGTGCATGGGTATTAGAAAAGCCTCATTTATGATCATATTTTTAAGGCTGTCCTTTTGTTAGGAATATGGTCCTTACAAGGAGGGAAGGGCATCTTTGTTTATCTCTCTCTCTCTGAAAAGGTTTTGTTTCATCAGATTTCGCTGCCTAAACCAGAAAGCATGAGAAATGTGCAGGTCATTGGTAGCCAGGCTGTAAGGTGTTGAATTCTCTCAAGGCAGGCTTTACCTAGTATTGTGATAGGAAAAAAATCCCTCTTGCTTAGTTCTGCTTTATTTGAAGCCTTTTAGGTTATCTAAACTTCTGTGTAAAATCGATGGCTATTGTGAAGGATTGGTGGCAGTCAGGAACTACTCAATGGCAAGGGAGCTATTGCATTCATCTTCCTTTATTATAAACCAGGGGCTAAAAGCCAGCAGTGAACTCCTTTTGCTTTTGAGATACTACCAAGTGGTGTTTGTGAGGATGGCTCTCAAAATATATATATTAAAAAAAAAAACTTAAAAAGATTATTTTTTCTTTTTAACCTTTGTAGGAGATAAGCCTAGATAGATGGAGCCAGGTGACAAAGGAAGAAGGCTCTGCTTTTGTTGTAATATCCCTGGGTTTTTTTTCTGGGGACTTAACCTGAGCAAAGTGCCAGAAGTCTGGCTCTAACCTTTAAGTTCAGATGATAAGCTTTTGCTTCCTGGACTACACAAATAGGTTTGCTATATAAAGCATTATGTTTATGAGATTTCCTTCTCTGTATGTTAATTTCTCATTTCCCTCTATGTTCTGGAGTTGTTTTGTTGGTTGGTCAATCAAAGGAACCAGAAAAATGATTGAAGAATACTCAAACTACTACAGTAAAAACAGGAGGAGGAAAAACATTCCCTTTTTATGAACTATTTTTAACAAAAACAAATGCTTTAGCTCACCACTGCACTTTTAGTCCAGAATCTTATTTTTGATTCCTCAGTGAAATTAGTAGAATTGGGGAGCAAAATATCTTCAGGGATCTGATAAAAAGTCTCTAGGTACGCCTTAGTACTGAGAGGCAAATGCCTGAAGGTTCTATTTCATACTTCAGTAATGAATTTGTTTGACTACAGCAATGAAAATACTGAGCTGTTTGTTTTCTATCAGTATTAATACAACTGTGGAGTAAGCTGATCTTAGCTTGTGCTTACACAGTAAGAGCCTCATCATCTCTTCCTTTTCTTTTGAGGTCATGAAACGCGTACGCACAGAACAGATTCAGATGGCAGTGTCCTGCTACCTCAAGCGCCGTCAGTATGTGGACTCAGAAGGTCCCCTAAAACAAGGGCTGAGGCTGTGTCAGACTGCTGAAGAGATGGCAGCTAATCTCACAGGTAATTCTGTCAAATCTTCCATGAGTACTTTCCAGAGTGGTATGTATACTGGCAACTATGTGAATTTGTCTGCACATATGGACAGCTCTCCTTTTGAAATAAAGAAATTTCTCAGTGTGAGGTTGGCGTGCATTAGGAACTTTTGAAGAATGAAAATGTGGATGAAAGTGAAACAAGGTGACGTTCACAGTCAGTGAAACTGCAGGCTGAAATACCAGGTTAGGGCAGTGGAAGTGTATGCTGAATCCCAAAGAACATGAAGTCTGGTGAGTAGTGGTGCTTTGGGATGGAGGTGAGAAGAACCTACATGAGGAATTTGTAGAAGCAGGAAAATTGTTGTACCTTTCTTATATCATGTGAAATGGAAGAGATAAGGTTGTGTCTTTTTCTGGACTAGTTAGCTTTGTAAAAGTTGTGAAAGCACTCTTCTGTCACTTGGGGTAAAAAAATCCAAAACCTTCAGTGGAGAGACAGTTTATTTCCCTGCATGCCCTTTCTCCTCTTCCTTAGAGGCTTTTGAAACCTGCCACACTACCTGCTTTTCAAATTGTGTCTGTGACAGTCTGTGTTGTAGTTATTATTTTTGTTATGAGAAATCCTGCTGCTTGAGCACATAAAAGTACCAGAAGGATGCAAGCAATGTGGAGGTTATAGAAATTAAATTTACTTGTAAAAGTAATAGAAAATACTGGGATAACCTTTGAGTGAAAACATTTTCTGTTAATGAAACTGCTTAGATTGTGACAGTATCCCAGGCGAAACAAAGTGGTGGAGACCTTAGTTACTTGTGATACAACTTGATTTGACAAAACATGAGTTGCTGTATAGCTCTGTTCTTGTGGCTACATAAGATTGGATACCAAAATAGCTTTTCCTACCTCTAGAATATTTTACCATAGTTAACGATGCAAAGATCAGTGATTTGTGGGTAAATGTTCAGGCTGACTCTCTCAGAGGCCTGAAGGAAAGTTGGTAGTATTCCCTTATTTAGAAATTACTTAGGTATTATTAATACTTACAATTTCCTCGCTTATTTTCTTTGTAACTATCAGAAGTTTGTTGCAACTCCATGAAAAACTATTGGGGGAGATGGGGAAGGAATGAAACCAAAGTAAAATGCTGAATTGTTTTTTTAATAGGAGATTTTATGTGAGAAGTGGGTAGAGAGGTCAGTGTTGAAATGGGCTTAGAATGAGATACCAACCATACTAGTGGCATCATGCAGAAAAAAGTTTTCATAAAGAGTGTGAATGAGTGTGTGATTCGGTTTTGTCTTTTTACTATCTTCCACCAAATGTTATTACTAGATTTCATATTAGTCGATATCCTCTTGCCAGGGTACGGGTTTTGTGGATGGTGATTCAGAATTTAGTCATCAGTTTTCAAGAGAACTGAAAATGGTCTACTCTCCTCCATTCAGCTGCTTACTAGTTCTTGTCAAACATGCCCATAGTTAGTTGTCAGTGAGCACGCTGCAGTTCCATGAATGACTGTTGAAAAAGCAAAACCCAGCTTGGTACTTATTCTGACAACAGAGGCTGAAAATACTTTTTGCTGCAGTCATCTTAGTTTTGCAAACTGAGTAAAAACTGAACAGATTGTAAAGCCTACATTGCTTTATTTTGGGGAAAGTGATCAGATATGTTTTTCTGAAAATGTTTTTGCTTTTTCCATAACAAAACTCACCTTGCTTTTTGTGTTCAGGTGTTTTGTTTGACTTTTCAATTAACTACCCTGTGTAAATGGGAGAGTCGGCTACTTCAGTCTTCAATTCTGCGATTTCTCTTTCACAATGTAAAGTGTCCTCAGTTTTACTTCCACGTTTCTTCCATAGTCTCTTCAGTTCAGCCCTTCTCCAGTTCTTCATATATTTGCTATATCTGTACAGCTGTTTTCATGGAATCACAGAGCAGCCCAGGTTGGAAGGACCCTCAGAAGATCATCTGGCCCAACCTTTTTTGTGGGAGAGGTAGCCCAGAAGAGATTATCTAGGACCCTGCCCAATCACATCTGCATCACAGAGCTTCTTTGTGACCATCCTGTATTTCTGTAGAAAAGTAGAATAATATCTGAGGACAGAATGAGTGACCAAGGAACAGGTTCCTCTAATACTGCCCATAGGACTATCTGAAATAATATGAAATTATACATTACACTCACTCAAAAGACAAATCAGTTGCTGTTAAACTGCATTTACAGTTGCTACACATTTGGTAGCTGAAAGCAAATCTGCTGGTAGCAAACACACAGGACCAGGATGGTACTGTCCATATCCCTGAGTTAGGAGTTTCAATTTGCTATCAGGTCACATAGCTAGCTCCACTTACTGGAAATGAAGTAAAGGAGCAGATGTTTCCAGTAGATGTTCCTGTGACCACTGGAAAAGATGAAAAAGAAGATATGGTAGGTTTATTAATGTATGAGAAGGATATAGCCAGTGTTTTATTTCTACCAGGAGGAAAATAGGCTTGAAATTTTGCTCTTTGTTTTGGCATCAGTTGAGCTCTTGACCCTTTTTGCAGTTCTGGTTGGTGTAAAGTTTTGGGAAGGCAAAGACTTAGAATGTAACTTGTAGGGTTCCTTTACCCTTTGCTGGATGGAAATGAGGTCTAGCATTGTTAATGAAAGAATAGGGCATAGTGATTGCCCAGTCAGACTATTTCAGGATAGGTAGCCAAAGATGATATTTCACTTTCTGAAGCATGAAGTACACCTTCATTTTGGAATTAGGTTGCTTGTGCAGAGAAAGCTGTGGCATGGAAGGAACACTTCATAAAGCCAAGGCCAATGAGTTGTGCTTTCATGGAGTGAGCAAGGTGTCAAGTCATTCCCATTCCTGCTGAAATGAGACCACCGGAACTCTGTGAGGAGTTGACCCTTGTATGTAACCCTGTGACGCAGCATAAAAGACAGCCTGTCATATTTCTATTTTTTTTGCTTTCATAGTGAGTAGTATGGGTGAAATTGAAAACTGACACTAAGCATTCTTGAGTTACTACATGTGCGTGCTGTTTACTCTTTTTTTCATGTTGAGTACTGATTATATTAAATTGTAAGTCCAAATAACAGAACTTTTTTACTTTAGCTGTTAAGTACTACCCATATGTGAGCCTAGAGTTCTTACCAGGTTATAGAAAGCTCAGTGTAGCTGTACCTTTCAGCAAGTTACATTTATTTATTTCCAAACAGATTTAAGATACAGTAGGGTATTGATGCTGGAATCTGTTTGGGGCTTTTTCCCAAGAGGGAATGATGAACACAGCCCAGCTCTCTGTTTCAAAAACTGAACTCAGCTTGCCCTGGAGAGTTGGTAAACACACCTCCTATATTTACATAAACTGAAGGAAGATAGACCTGTGTCTTAGAGAGAGAGGGAGGACAATAGCAACAGGCTGCCTGTGTATACCATGTGCTGATCTCTTTCTAATTAGAAGCATTGAGATGAGCTGGAGGCTGGCCTATCTTTCTTTAGCATGTGAACATTTGATGATGTTGTTTATAGACTTCCAGGGTTGTCAGAGTTGTGCCTCTGTGCATGAGCCAAATGCTGGAACAAAAAAACCCCAATCACTCAGAAAGACAAAGAGAGAGGATGGAAAGAGGTGCAGGCCAGGGGAAACTGAAAGAAATTACAGTGAAAGTAATAAAAATAGGGTTTGTGGATTGAAAAATAGTTATGAATTGGAAAAAAAAGGTATGAAAGGAAAATAGTGAAACTCTTTATCCTCTTGTGCTCTAGAAGAGAAGAATTTGTGTTTCTAATCACTGGTATTTCCATATGCTTGGGGTATGTTTGTGCATGTCTGTAAAATTGCACAAAGTCCCCTGTTGGATTCCAGGTGGTTAGCAGAACAGCAAAGGTTTACTGCCAGAGAAGGAAAAGCCAGTTCCATTTCTAAATAGTCCAGAACCACTTTTACCAGAGTCAGTACTGGTTCTGAAAAACAGTTTAGCACCATCTCAGGAGACCATAACAACTGGGTTTGTGGTCAGTAACCAACCACCTTTAACCTAAAATACTCAGGGAGGAGGGCACATTTTGATTAAAAACTACTAAGTGTTTGCTTAGAGATTCAATGTATTTTGACCACCATATCCATGAGACTTAGTAAATGATAGTGGGAGCCCCTGGTGGTCTAGTGGTTAAGGGCGCGGCGCTGTCACCGCCGAGGCCCGGGTTCGATTCCCGGTCAGGGACACTTCCCGGGCAGATGGAGCTCGTTAGCCCTGTAGGCAATCCATCTACGTCCTAAGGACCTCGCTGCCACTGTCCAAGCTCGCTTGGCCCTGGCAGATGAACCTTAGGATTAAAGGGTGGGCTCAGTTCCACGCACACTGTGTCTCACCTAAAAAATCCAATGCGCAGGCTGGAAGGTGTAAAGACCTTCCCCGGATCTTCACTCGCGAAGACTGGCCATTATTATTAGTAAATGATAGTGATTATAATTTGTTGTAAACTGTAATGCCTGGGACAAGGAATTTGAGAATCTGAGATAGAGTCACTGCAGACCTGTTTAGGACAGTTGGTGGGACCCCCTGATAAAGAAACTCTGTTTTGGATAAACGTAGATTGTAGATTGCTTTCCTCATCTTTTTTGAGTGCAAAGTAGTAAAATCACTGAATTGTAAAACTGTTAAAGGATCTGTGATGGTGTTAGTCTGAATTTCTTGGGAACTTAAGGTTGTATTTGAAAACTTTAAAAGGTGTTCTGGGTGGAGCACGTGAGTTGCTGAGACTTTTGGGAGGTGGGGGTTAGCTTTCATTATACTTTCTCACTCGTGATCTGTCTAGGTTGTTAATGCCTCATTTAGATGCTTTGGACTATTTCATTCCTGGGCGGTTTCAAAGACAAAATGTCATCTGAGTGGCTGCATATCTTGAATTTTATGAGAAGCTTTGTTTCCAGACAAGTGTGCAAAACTCCTTAAATCCCCATTTAATTTTTACTTACTTTATTTCACAGTCCAATCTGAGTCTGGTTGTGCCAACGTTGTGTCTGCAGCTCCCTGCCTGGCAGAGCCACAGCAATATGAAGTACAATTTGGACGATTACGCAATTTTCTCACAGGTAAACATCAGGAAGCAAGGAAGAGGAAAATAGCTGTTTGGGGTTTTTTTTTGTCATTTCAATGAGTAAAGCACAATAAAAATTCAAAATCATGTCTGTAACAATGTTCTGACTTGTATTTTTGATATTTCAGTTACTCCAAATAGAAATATTTGATTTTTTTCTTATTTGGGCTGTTTGTGTGCTGAGTAGCTTTGAATTTTGTAGATGTCTGCCCTTTCTTGTTCAAGCATTTGACCTTTTAAATCTTCTAGACAACAGCATACATAAGACATACATAAGACATACATAGACAAGAAGGAAGATTAGTGTTTTATGTGAAAGGCAGGTAACTTAGAAATTAGTGTAGTTTTCTGCTGTCTCCTAGTTTAGGGGCTTTAATTTTATCCATAATTAGCTTATTTTTATGGTGATCTGGATTTTTAAGGGAGAAAAGACCACCTGCTGACTGCTTAGAGGTTTTACTACATGCAGACCACTGTTTTCACTGGCTTTGGCCCAGTTTCAGTGGGACAGGAAGGAGAAAGATGCTTAAGCATGCCAGACCTGCTCTATATTTACTCATAGAAATGAGAGAGAGTGTCACAGTATGGACCAGAGAAAGTCTGGAAGAGTGCTAAGCACAGAGAAAAAATAACCTAATGGAAACAGGAGGAAAAAAGGATATGCATTGGTGAGTGGCAGGAGGGAAGAAAAAGCTGAAAAGTAGCAATGCTTTTTCCATTTTGAGGACTGGCAATGCCTATTTGTTTTCCAGTAATTTAAGCCATTTGGTCCTCTGGTAGTAACTCGTCGTGGCCCTGTATGTTGCCGTGGTGTTCTGCGGCAGGGCTCTGCTTCCTCACAGCTTCCTGTAGCTGGCAAACAGCCCCAAGAAGCTGGTGAAGGAAGGGTGGAGCTGTTGCACTGATCAGTCTCTGCAAGGTACAGCACAGCCTAATCGGGCGTTTGTTGCACTGTGTACTAGGAATTACTGCTGGGATTTGCCTTGGCAGAGAGAGAGAGAAAGCGTGTACATGGGCAGGCACAGAAATGAAACAAGAGCATAGCATATTGCAGTGCATTTTGGAAACTGTAGCTTCCTTTCCCCTGGGGACCAATCAGTTGCATCCAAAGTACCACATGCAAGTTTCATTGAAGCTAAGAGAGGAAAAACAACAAAGCTGAGACCTATACAAGCTAGGTAAATAATTTTGACTTAAACATTTAAATACTATTTTAAATCTAATGAATAAATTTTCAAGTTCCTTTATCACAATAAGCAAAGGGCATAGTTTTTCTTCTTAAATAAATGGGGGAAATTCAACTGTCATGTATTTTGTGAGGTGGTATATTATTAGTTATCCCACACCTAAAAAGGGTTGTGAAATCTCTGCATTTTGTTCTGACAAGGAACCTCACTGACTTGACAATCTCTACTGAGGTCTGTAATAGGTACTGTACCACCTTTAGGTGACAGAAAGGGTTCACTTAGATGTGCCAACAGGAGTCTCCTTTTGCTTGCTCTGTGATGCCACTGTCAAGGCTTTTTCAGTAACCATCCTTGCTCTGTTTTATTCCCAGTAGAAAGAGGATTGATAAATCATTCAAAGTTTGTTGCTGTTTTTTATAGATTCAGATTCTCAGCACAGCCATGAAGTGATGCCTCTTCTATATCCCCTCTTTGTCTACCTCCATCTGAACATGGTCCAGAATGGCCTAAAAAGCACAGTGGACAGTTTTTACAGCCGCTTCCATGGCATGTTCTTGCAGAATGCCAGCCAGAAGGATATCATTGAACAGTTGCAGACTACCATGACTATTCAAGATATCCTGTCCAACTTGAAGCTCCGGGCTTTTCTGGACAACAAGTATGTCATCCGCCTTCAAGAGGACAGCTACAACTACCTTCTTCGCTACCTCCAAAGTGACAACAACAACGCCCTGTGCAAAGTCCTGACCTTGCACATTCACCTGGATGTGCAGCCTGCCAAGAGGACTGACTACCAGCTCTATGCCGGCGGGAGCTCCTCGCGCAACGAGAGCAACGGCCTGGAACCCAGTGATGTGCCGGCTTCCATTCTGCAGAATGAGGCAGCGCTGGAGTTACTGCAGGACAGCATTAAACGTGTCAAGGACGGGCCCCCTTCCTTAACGACCATCTGCTTCTATGCCTTCTATAACACAGAGCAGTTGCTGAACACGGCAGAGATTTCACCAAACAGCAAGCTGCTCGCTGCTGGGTTCGATAATTCGTGTGTGAAGCTGTGGAGCCTGCGTTCCAGGAAGTTAAAATCTGAGCCCCACCTTGTTGATGTGTCCCGCATCCGTCTGGCTTGTGACATCCTGGATGAGGAGGTCTGGATGCCCTTTTCTTTTTCCCCTTTTACCCACTTTTGTTGGGCTATTTTGGGTGTGCACTGTGGACAGTAATGTCTTAGGGGACTGTGAGGCTGTTCCACAACCTGTCTGCCTGGCTGATGCACAAGTTTTGTAGCCTAGTCTTGTCCTTGTTTTTTCCTGGAGTGGTTGTAAATGCTGCACAGAGATGCAGTGAGTTTGTGCATGGGTCACAGTTTGCTAGTCGTGGGTGCTGATCTCCTTCCTCCATCTCTCCTTGAACAGGTGACAGTAGACACGCAGCCAGGTAAGGACAGGTGACTAGAGAAGGCTCCCTTTCCTGAGGAGCATGGAGCCTTTTTAGGGGTGGGAAGGTGACTCAAGGAGATATGGGCAGTAAAAGCACAGCACTGAATGAAAACTAGAAGGAAAATAGCTCAGAACAACCAGGCAGAAGGGTGGAGACACAGGAAAAGGAAAGAGCCAAAAGAGTCTGATCCAATGGCTAAGTGTGAAACTGCATTTGAGGCATTACCTTAACCAGAGGTGAAAAGTTATCATGGAAAAAATAAGCAGAATGTCTCTGTTAAGGAATCCAAAGTGTAGAAACTTGAGAGGCTTTCTACTCTGGAGTGCTGGAGACGAGGTCAGGGATGTGTACACCTTCATTTGCCAGGCTAGATAGCATCTTCTAGTTTACTTTTTTTTTGCCTTCTAGTTACGCCCTTCCTCCCCTCTTGACACAGCTGCCTAAGTATCTTATATCTGGTTAGAGATCAAAATTTGTGACTCTTCTGTTTTTTAATCACCCCTTCTCAAAAAAAAGAAAAGCTTCATTTGTTCTTGTGTTGAGCATTAGCAGTAGAAACAGCTTTTTTCCCACTGTTTTTCCTTCTCCTAAAAATACTCAGTGGCAGGGTTTTGTTTATTTTGGAAGAGTGCAGAGAGCTTGGTGTATGCAGAGATCCATGATCAGGGTTTGCTTTGTTAGTCAGCCTGAGAACAAGAGGCAGGCAGTGAGGTGAGACAGCACAGCAGCATGCTCGCTGCTTTCCTGGGTTAACCCCTTCTGCAGAGTGAGCAGGTAAGTGGGTCAGACTAAACCAAGATGGGACTATGGATTTGTTTTCATTATAACCTGCAAGAGTTCATAGGACATGTGACTATTGCCTATCTTGGAAGCCAAATGTCAATAACCTGCAACAGAGGAGAATTTGTCTGGTAAATCAGGGGGTCACCTTCTTTGGCTCTGGACTATAGAAAAGTGAGACAATGCCCGGTTATCAGGAGTGCGTTTATTAGGGTTTTTTTGGCACGTAGGCACATACTTGCATATTTTACTTGTATTATGAAACACTCGTGGAAGCTTGAGTGCAAATGGCTTTTATTGGCTATTTGATATTTTGTGTATCCTGCAGTTTTTGTGCACAGATCTAAAATCAAAAACTGGTGAAAGATAAGCACAGATCAAAGTCATCGTTGCCCTGAATAACTTCCACTACTAACAAAACAAAACCTGAGCAGGAGTTGAAAGTTACGGGAGGATACCAGCTTGAACACACTGCTGATTACCAAATGTAAATTAAACCCCTTTGACCACAAAGGAAATAAATTCCATTATCTGGGAGCCCTAAATGAAAATACACAGGTACCCACAGGATTGCAGGTGGGGACAGACCAGCACTTGCTTGGGTGCCATGGGAGTGGAGGCCACAAATACTAAGCAGATCACCTCCTCTGGGATGCAGTTATCTATCATGCAGCTCAATGTGAGCAGGGGCTGTGTTTCAGACTGTCACTGCAGTCTGATTAGCAGCAATTCACAGAGATAAATCTGATGAAAAGTTTTGACAAAGAAAAAAAATCCTGAATACGCTTTGACATTACTTCGGTGAGGATGTTAAAATTTGGTTTGGTTGACTTCTGTGTTGTGTAATTAGCTTTGGATACTGTATTTAAATAGTAATGCATGAAATAATTAGTCTTCATCTTGGTTTCTGATTTGCTGCAAACAAATAGGTCCTTCTGTTTATGAAATTATAAAGGTCTTAAATTATGCTAGTTTCAGTTGATCTCGTTCAGGGTGGCACTAAAGCTATACCATTAGGTTAAGTTTATTAACTCTTTTTCTTTATGTGTGTATATACACATGCACATATGTAAATTAGGTCAAGTCTTGGCAAAAGTGTTAAGAGAACAACATTTTTTCCTAGTCCATGTAAAGCCTTCATGTCACTGAGGTCAAAATCATCTTCTAGGCATAGGTTTAGTGAATTTGCTCAGTGCGATGCCGCAGTATACTTCACCAGTGTTTTCTTTCCTCTGGTAAATAGGAGAGGCTTACTGTTTTGGGATACAGTAATTCTGTTTTCTTTATAGAAATGCCTCTTTTTAGTCTCTTACTTAAGTAAGTTTAAAAAATGTAGTTTTGCAGCTGTCCAAATGGATGTATTGTCTGTCTCTGCAATTTTGCCATGCTCATCGATGGTACTACCTAAATCAACAACAGAAAATAATACTCAGTTCCAAGCCACAAGAGTGGCATCCTTTAAATCCTGTGAATATTTAAGACTTGACCCCTTTTAGCTCTGCTTTCAAAGTTCTGCTTTTAAGTGGCAGTGGTCCTTCAAGTGGTAATGAGTGGGGATGATGCTGGCACCTTGTTCAGTGGCAGATGGGAGGGAATTCTGGAAGGAGCAGTAAGAAATGTCCTGCAATGAGAACCATCCTTCCCCATCTTTCCCTGCTAAAAGATCTCTACTGTAGGCAGGTAAGAAATCTTCCCTTTTGACATCTTAAGAACCCTGCGAGATGAGAAGGATGATGGCACCCAGAGAAACCTGTTACTAGTTATTTAAAAAAATAAAAGGGAGTGGTGTGACATTTTGTTTTGTTTTTCTTTGAGGATGTCGTTGTTTTCTGAGACCTACTCATACCTTTGAGGCTTATGCTGGGTGGAAGACCAAGATAATTTTTGTCAGTTAGATATGTTTGCTGCTTACATGGTTAAATGTATTAACTATAGATTTTTCTGGGTCCAAGTGACTGTCATGCAAAATCCATTACTGATTTAAGCTATAGCTGAGGATTTGGGCAGTCTGTCCGTAGGTGTATCATTTAGAAGGTGTCCTGTGTAACAAAACATGTCAAAATTTTTGCTCTTTTCTGTTTCTTATTAATATACTTTTTTGGAGTCTTGCACTTGCTCAGGAAGATTTCCTGTTCAGTGTTTAAACAGTTAATTGTTTTAGCTCACTTTAGTAGTGTGGGTAGGCTTTCCAGTTCTATCCTGTTACTTAAAATCTGTTTTGATAGTTCTTTTCCAAATAGGTAGTTCAACTAATAAAATGTAACTGTTAGTGTGTGTGGGTGTAGGTTATTGATTAACACAGACTTACTTAATTTCTTGTCCATTCCAAGGAAATACAAATAGTTCATGCTAACCCGCAGCAGCAACCACTTCAGAAGGAGCTGATGGGATCTGGGTATGCCCAGTTGTGTGTTACATCCAGGAAACATATTCAAGGTGTGAAATTGAAATCCTGAAAAAAAAAAACATTATGAAGAGGGATTCCCTGCCTTCCTGTTGATTTATAACACAGATTGCAATCTTTCTATAGCTGCTGCAAATGCACACCACAGTGGTGGTAGTAGCTGTGGGATGCAAGGAAGAGTGTGATTGATCTGACAAAGACATGAAGCTTGGTTTTGCAAGGCGGTAAATTAGTGGCTGCACTTCCAGCTGCTTTTTTTAATAGGGTCAGCAGATTAACTTGGATAGGGAGGAAACAGAAAAATGTCGTGACTCAGAATCACTACAGGTGTACTGTTCTCAGTGAGCAGTGTGCAGTTGTTGTGCTAAGTGGGTGTCAAACAGAAGTCAAAGATAAGATTTGCTACCTGTGACCATACAGGAATGTGGTTTGAATGCTGCAGGAGGCCTTGTCAGATCAGCTGCTACTGTAATACAAGGAAAGAAGAGGAAGTACTAGTAAGAGAGAAAGAGTATGTGCTTGCAGACAGCCCGAGTAGCCTTCTATTACTTTGAATGCATAAAATTAAGTACCTGGACTTGCAAAATTTACAGAAACTGTGGTGCAGTATAGGTAATAGTCTTCCACTGGTAACTTGTCAGGAATCTTATGGTCATAATTAAATAGGCTGATACCTGCAGCATTTTATACTTTCTCCTTTAATAGTCTAGAGATGCTGTAGATTCCAGCAAGCAATGCTCTATCTGAGGTAGAAAAAGCAATTTGAATGTGAATGGGGCTTTGCTTGTTAGAGCCTGCAGTTTATCTCTACCTCACCTCCATAGCAGAGATGAAGTTGGCTTCCAGCCACCTCATAAAACGCCCATGGGCACTGACTGCTCTGAAGAGAATTAGTATTGCTAAATGCTGCTTGCTGCCTACTATATGACATGCTGTGGAGATGGAGAAAGGCAAGGAGGTAGCTCAGTCAGAGTTTGTTCACTTTTGACGTGAAGTCTGAAGCCAAAACTATCTGTGGGTCCCGAGGTCAGAGGGATGGGAGCTGGCATGTCAGCCAAGAGAGCTTCTCACAACGCGCCGACTTCTGCTGGTCAACTGCAGTCCAGCAACCCTGGGGAATTGAGTTTCCTCTCAGGGCAGGAAGTGCTCCTTCTGGAGGAAACAGGCCAGTTCACTATGATAAAAGTTGAAGGGGCTGCTCACAAACAAAAGGGCGTTGTGTTGAATTTGATGTGCAGAGATTGTCTGTGGGTTTTACTGATTCAGTACTGAAGAAAAGTGGTCTCAACCTACTGCACAGGTACACCCCAAGCCATGGTTATCTTGCAGTGTCAGTGAGACCCCAGCTTGTCAGGGAGGGCCACTCTCTTGAGATTTCTAGTCTGTAGGCTTCGAGTGTCAAGAGGTGCTACCTGAGTAGGCTTTCAGAGGCTCTTACCCTCCATGTGGAGATTCTTTTAGCGCAGCTCACTGAATAGTCTTTTGAACTCGAAAGCCTTTACTTGTTATCTGCCCTGGTACTCGAATTAGAGAATAACAGGATAAAAAGGTATACAGTGCCATCATTTTTGTGATTATTCATCTTTTCCTGCCCCAAAATAGATACATTGACCTAAATAAGCTGCATACATTTGCTATTCTTGATGGGTGTTCTTGAATGGTGAGGATGTGAAAGTATCCTGATGGAGCTTGCAGGGGGAAATAACCCTTACTGGGTTTCTAGTCACATGTGGGTTTAAGAAAGAATGTCCAGCAGACAGCTTGTCAAATATGCTTTGTCTTTCCATATCCTGCCTTTTGTTTAGACATCTGTGATTATTTCCTTCTACTGTGAGATTTACTTCCAATAATGACAGCACCAAAAGAGTAGATGCCAAGATCTGCCAAATGTTTAGTAGAGCATGGATAGGGACTATGCATATGTTTTTAGCAAAAGGAAAAATGTCATTAAATATTTATTTTTTCCTTATTTGCATACAGTCCCAGGCAAGATGCCTTCTGGATTGAGCATGAGACTACCCAAAATGAAGATAATGCCGTTATAGAAAGTTTTATCATCTCTTCCAGCATTCACTTAGATACAGCAAATGCACCAGCAGTGTTTGTGTCTCAGAGTTGCACAAACCATGTGTGCCATGTCTAAAATAACTCCTTCTGTATTAACACCCACCTGTTTTCCTGATGGTGGTTCCTGTAGTTGTTGAACAAATAAACATGCTTTCCTTTCTCATTTCTTTTTCTCCTTCATGACCAGGAGGAAGAGGATGACAGCGCAGGCACAGAAATGAAGATCCTGAGAGGACATTGTGGACCTGTGTATAGCACAAGGTTCCTTTCAGACAGTTCAGGACTCTTATCTTGTTCTGAGGACATGTCCATCAGATACTGGGACCTCGGGAGTTTTACAAACACTGTGTTGTACCAAGGGCACGCCTATCCTGTCTGGGATTTGGATATTAGCCCCTGCAGCCTGTACTTTGCCAGTGGTTCCCACGATCGCACCGCAAGGCTCTGGTCGTTTGATCGGACGTACCCGCTGCGAATATACGCAGGCCATTTGGCAGACGTAGACTGCGTCAAGTTCCACCCCAATTCCAACTACTTGGCGACGGGCTCCACGGACAAAACTGTGCGCTTGTGGAGCACTCAGCAGGGCAACTCAGTGCGTCTTTTCACCGGGCACCGTGGCCCTGTGCTGGCGCTTGCGTTCTCTCCCAACGGTAAGTACCTGGCATCAGCGGGCGAAGACCAGCGGCTAAAGCTGTGGGACTTGGCATCAGGAACTCTTTACAAAGAACTGAGGGGGCACACGGACAACATAACCAGCCTTACTTTTAGCCCTGACAGCAGTTTAATTGCTTCAGCGTCGATGGACAATTCAGTTCGGGTCTGGGACATTCGGAACACTTACTGCAACGCCCCTGCGGATGGGTCTTCCAGTGAACTGGTTGGTGTATATACCGGACAAATGAATAATGTACTGAGCGTACAGTTTATGGCCTGTAATCTTCTTCTAGTGACTGGAATTGCACAAGAAAATCAGGAACATTAATTTTTCTTTTTTTTTAGGGAAGTGGGTGGGTGTATTGAATGTCAGAGTCCATTGCAAGCTGAGATTACTGACTGTGAAACACTTTTCTTCCTTTGCCCCTTGAAAGGCATGTTCAGAGTAATGCAAATGCTTTAAGATGTCACAAAAAGCCTGTGCTGTTGAACAGAATAAGGAAAAAAGGAGAAGTGATGAAAATACATATACATTCTAATCTTGTACTTGTAGGAATGGGAAAATCCAGTAGCTTGGGGAAACCAAAAACTTGGTCCAGACAAATGAAACTGCCAACCAGATAAGCTGCTGACCTGCACTTAAATATCCTGCATTGATTGATGGGCACGTTACCTACTGTTAAGTGAGGCTCGAGTGTGTGGAGAACTACTGGCCCAGTGTTTTTTGTTTTGTTTTGCTTTTGTTTTCCTGGTATTGCAGAGGACCAGCATTTTTAAGACTCTTCTATTAAAAGAACATGGTGTATTTTCTACAGTGATAGTGGTCCTAAATATTACAGCTCCTTATAGCACTTCTGGAATATTTTGGACTAAGTAAGTAGAAAATACCATTGTTCTTTTTTGTAAGGGGATGGAAATCTGACCTCAGTTGGGGCCCATCTCTGCATTGTCATTTGGGTTTGGTTCCTGATTTTAGCTGTGATACTTGTATTTATGTTCCATTAATTAGGAAATTTTCTGACTCTGGTTGCACTGTGTTTTGAGGATTGGAGGACAGTGGGGGAGAGCGGTGGCTTTAAGGGTAATAAACAACTTGCCTTGTCTGGAAGGAGGGCACAATAGAAATTAAGTAGCTAAGTTTGGACTCCTAATGGAAACAGGGCATGTCAATCCACCACTGCACCTCACAGAAATATTTCCATAAATGGAAGTTGGCAGTCTAGGGAGAGGGGGATGAAGAGAGACACACAAAGTGACATGGGAAAAAATAGTATTACTAAATTATTGTGTGTACACAGAGGCAGCTCTGCCAGTGTTGGATTTTTCTCAAATGTTGCAATACCGGTTTCATGAACACTTTGTGAGATAAATCATCAGCATTTACAACAAGGGTCTGCGGAAAAAGCACGTTCTAGTTTGTCATTTGGAGAGATTAAATATTTCTGCTTTCTGGAAAGAGTTATTTTGTATTTTGTTTTCTATTAAAAGCATTTAGTTTAAAAAGAAAAATAAAAATGGTTTGGTCCCTTTCTGGGAAGTTTGCTCTGACTTGCATGGGAAGAAGACAGCAGCACGTTTCTACACTGCTTGAGCCAGAACCCACTTGGCGCTTAGAGGCTGCATCTGGTGGTCTTGCTCGGTGCATGCTGTTTTGATGTCTCCCTACTGGCTTTCCACAGAGCTGACATGGCAGATCATGGAGTAGGGTGTTGTGTAGGTTAGGTTGGCTGAAATGCACAGATACAGCTTTGCAGGTTGGCTGAAATGTCCATGGAGGATTTAGGTACCCTCTGAGGTTGACACTGTGCACCAGAAGGCCTCATTCTGTAGTGCTGTATGACCTTTACTTTGTGGTTTGATGTTTTAAAGTGCCTCTTTTGAGCAAATGTCTTCTAGACAGGCTGTTGGTATTAAATGATAATTCCCTTCAGCTTCCCTCAGATGTTCTGGATTTTCCTGTGAAAATTCTCTTGAGAACACCTAAACAATCTAAGAGTTCAGACTACAACTCACAGTTGCCTTTTTATTTTATTGTGTATTTACGCATTTGTAAACCAAAATATCAGAAAAGTGTTTGACCTTTCTGAGATTAATAACAGTGTGTGCTGTGTCTCAACTCTGGGAATACCAGAAACCCCTTGGTACACTTGGAGATAAATGTCACTGTAAGTCTTCTGACAGCTGCACATCAAAAGTGTCAAGCAGCTTAACAATCCCAGTCCAGGACCAGGCATTTTGAGGTAAAAAAAAAAAAAAGGGTCATGGTTGTATTTCTGGTTCTTTGTGCTATGCAGTTCTCTATAGAGACCTTCATTTTCTGTCAGCTCTGTTGAGCCAATACTGCTCTCCAGACCAAACACATGGTATTCTTCAACCTGCAGTAATCTCTCCAGTTGTTTTGAGTGTTTTTACTCGACTCTGTAGATTGTAGCCAAAAGGTGAAATTACTCTTGGCTGAATGTCCGTGTGAATGCCTAGGAAGGATATGGCTCACAAGTGCTCTCTGGAAGTCATTTTGCTGTTTGTTGCCATATGTCCTGAGCAGTGTTTAGATTTAGAGCAGCTAGACATTCGGTCTTGAAGTAGAGCAAACAGCAACCAAAAAGGGAGGGGAGAAGGGGGTGGGAAGGGATGGAAATAAGAATGAGATGGGCAGAAAACAAAGTTTCCCTTTAACATCTTACTTCTACAGCAGAATTGGGCTTTTTATTACTTGGGTTACTGTGAAGTATTTTGCATACAGAAGTGACAAGAGTAAAGGTTCTTGGGAAGCGAATCCTATTATATGTACATAGGCTAAAAGGTGTGTAAAAGTGATTTCTGAGGTGTTGGAAAAAATAATTATGAGCTTCAAACCTGTAAATTTCTATGTACAGTGTGGATGGGGGTTTTTTGTGCTCATTGAATGTAAATATTTGAAGGAAGGAAGCCAGGAAATAAGCTAGACTATTAAAAAATGTTTGCAATTGATTGACAAGCTAAATTTTAAGGCAGAACTGGGAGGAAAGTATGAATAGGAGGAATACCATTAAGTCTAGCAAAATTTGGACTGTAGCCTCTATTAACTATCTAGTAAGTGCAGTTGTGTGGAACACTTCCTTATTATATTTTAAATATATATCAAAAACCACAAAAGCTGACATAGTTAAGCATTCAAATATAAATAAGCATCATATCAGGGACCTCGCAGCTTGTGTGTCTGCACTTAATGCTTTCTCTGTCGCATAACTGGCTCCTCCTTCCCCTGCAAAGCTCTGTTCACTTCATGTGCCTCCTGGATGATCCACAGTGCACCGGGCACTGCACGGTATCAGCCAGTGGCTGTCAGTAGATGCTGAGAATAAGAGGACAGTGGACAGCAGTCCTTCCTTGGTTTACACATTCCTGGGTTCTGACAGTTATGGTTTGTTGGGTTTTGGGATTTGTTATAGTAGACCAACAGAACTGCAGCTTATGTCTTTAATAACTGCTGATGGATTTAGTTTCATCTAAATTAGTCTCATCTCTTTTATTAATCAGCTATATACTTGTAGTTTCCACAGTTTGCAGCAAGAAGTTCTGCACCTTGTTTTTAGGAGGGGGAAAAAATATTTCCTTGTTCTTGACGTTCATTATCTGATAATTTTGTTCTGTTCCCTAACCTCTTGAATTGATAAAGACGATGAAGAGTAAAACACCCTTTCAAAGGGTGTTAGGTAGTCCAGGCCACAGTAAATACAGACAAAGCTGAGGTAAAAGTCCATGCTTAGTCACTGAATACTGATGAAAGGAAAGGCTATTTGCTCTAATAAATCGCTACACGCATTCACAGGTCTATACTAAAGTTTCCCCTTCTCACTTTCAACACTGGCATCTCCAGTGCAGTATCCTGCCATACTGCTCAGTCAGATATCTTAATTTCCCGAATGGTAAAGTTCATCCTATTCCTCCTCATTCTGGTTCCTTTGTGAAAAGACTATCTCGTACAAGACTGTCTCTTACAAGTGTCTTTGAAGTCTGAAAACATTTTACAGAAATGGTATTTCCATTAACGGATCCTTTGGGTTTGCCAAGAAAAATAAAAAGGATTTCAGGCCATTTTGTTAACCTCGTTTCAACACTTGCTGGCTTTTGTTAGACCTATGGGCTCAGTTTGTTCTTCAAGAAAGTCCCGAAATGGCCTTTCTTCTGAGTGGTGTCTAGTCGCTTGTGATGAGCCAGGCTCTAAAACTGTACTGTTACAAGATGCCAATGTGACAGTTAAATTAACTGCCTGGATGTCCCTTGCCAAAGACTATCCTGTCATGCTGCACTTTAGTTATGGGGTTTTTTTAAGGTACTGGATAGGAGCCAAAACTGACTTAAATAACTCAACAATGCTCTCCGTGCTTAAGGTATTTCAAGTACAAAATACTGATAAAATTTGTCTTTGGACTACTAATCTTTTTTAACAATTTCAAGCATATCTGACTTGTTTCATGGACAAGGCTATACAGCAGCATCAAGCAGCATGTGTACAGAAGTGTTATGTTATATATAGGGATATCTTGAACCCCTGCCCTTACCTTGGAAGATGGCAGATTAGACTCCACTTTTACACTTAAGTAAGTGGGCTACTTAGCATTGAGTGCTGTGGGTCTGTTTGGAGGTGCAGCAATACTCCTGCTTGAGGCATCCAAAGGCTGGGTTGCACGTGAGTCTCAGGAAGTTTCTAAAAGTAATGGATAGAGGAGAAGTAGGTGGACACTAAGTGGAGCAAGGCTGCTAGATAACTAACCACTCCTGCCAGAAGGAGTTTCTTGTTCTCTGGACAGCAGTGATAGTACCTGTCCTCTGATGTCTTCCTTAGGCCAGCCCTGGGCCTGGCTGTGCAGTAGCTACTGAAGCTTTGCAGTTCATGGAGAGGGACAGGGCAAATAAGGGCAGAAACTCCTGTGTGCTCATTGCAGTGATAAACTGAGGTCATGCTGTAAGACAAACCCAGACAAACAAGTGCCAACTGCATGTGGAGAATGGCCATTTGTCTGGCATCCAGAAAAGCACAGCAAACCTTGTGTACTGACAATTTGCCCTTTAGAACTAGCACAGGTCCTTCCGGAGCTGCATGTACTTCAACACCAGGAATCAGCCAAGCCCTAAACATTTGCTCCTTAGCACTAGAGTTGTGAGTGCCCATGTGACTTTGTAGAATTTTAGGTTAACACATGACAACTTCAGCCCATTACTGGAGTTGAAGCAAGGCACAGATTTTGCTGCTTTTTTTTTTTTTTTTTTTTTTTTTGGTGCACAGCTTAGCTGTAGACGTGCAGGACTGCTGTTGTTTTTTGCCATTTTTGCTTAAGGCAATAGCAGAGTAATCTGCATGTGATACACAGACTTGAAAAGAATAGCCAGAATTTTAGGCACTCTCTTCCCTCCTGGCAACTCCACTCCACTAGTTCAAATATTTCATGACCACTTAGGATGACTGTATAACCATCTGTGAGTTTGGCGGTGGTTGTGTTTTTATACGTTATTTTTCCCCAGAAGCAAAGCCTAAACAAAACTGAAGCATTAAGTTCTGCTGCATCTAAACTTTCTGGTGCCTTTGCCAGTCAGCTCTCCTTGTCCTGGTGAAGATAGGGGGGTGCTTGGCTTTCTCTGTTCTTTTCAAAATTATTTATCCATAATTCTTACTTCTCCAAAGGTTTTCAGGAGAAAACATCCTGTGTTCTCAGCCCTCATCCTGCAGCCAGCACAGGAAAGACACAAGCACTGAGAATCTGCCTTCCTGAAAGACTGTACACTGTTTGTGTCTCCATAGATTGTTTTATTGCATCCAGAAGTTACTTCACAGATCTCAGCAACATCTACATGCAGAGATGCCAGAGCCCCACCCTGCATACCTCAGTGCTCAGGTGCACCTGGCAGTGGGAACTGTATGCTTCAGTCAGGTTTAATTTTGCAATGTTTCATTTTCCTCCAAAATGGCACTGCGGAAGAATATGTATTGTGGGATTTCAATGCTCGGTGTTGCTTTTATACTGCTTGCTTTGCTCCACACAAGGACTTTTGTCATCCAGCGCCTGTTTTTTTTTTTCCTGGAAGATGAAGACAGGCTACAAAACTATTTCAGTATCACACAATAACTAAATAGAAATTTAGCATTTGCTGTTTAATCTACAACACGTAACACCATCAGCTTTCATGCGCCCAGAGAGATAACATGGGGACAGCATAGCTTGGCTAGGACAACCTGCAGCACCTGAAGCTTCCCTAGAAGACATAAACTCACATCATTCCTGAGTGTCCCACTCTTGTGGTGCTTTCCCCTGTATTCACTGCAGCAGCAGGGATCTAGCACTGTGGCAGGTTTGGCAAGACCCTGGCCCTCAGTACTGCACCCAGGCTGGAAGTTTGCTCTTTGTCCTCTGTCCCAAACACTAATTAATCCCCAGACCCTGGAGACAGGGGGTGGCCAGCCAGGGCACAAGGCTCCT